GAGAGCTGTGGGGCACAGCAGCAGGAATTGCTGTGCCCACTCAAACTACAGACCTGGGAACATTTGGAAGGTGACCACTGCAGTGCTTCAGGGTGAGCAGCATTTGTGTGCCCAGCACTGCGCCCATCACCCCGCTAGAGAAGGGAAAGGAAGCTCATTTTCTCATCCCTTAGATTTTACATTGTGTGGCACGAATTCTGATGAGCTTTTCCCTGTGTGTTGTGTAAGCAGTAGAACTATCTGCAAGGTTTCAGTTTTTGATGTCCTGTGCTACTGAATTCCTTGAATTCCACAGACTGCATTTGCATGAATTTTTGGCTTCTAACTTTCCTGTTATTTCTCACTCTGAAGTTTGGAAAGACAAAGGAGTGTGATCTCTGTTTTCTGAGCCCTGTTGCAGCAAGAGTTATTTTATGGTAACACAGCACCTGCAGAGGGCAGGAACAAGAATGTATTTGTTGGTACAGCACACAACTACAGCAAAACACCGTGAGCACTTTGAGTTTGCCTATTTGTTGATCTCTTGTTGTCCATGTGGGGTCCTCTTTGCTGGGAGACATGGGGCCTGAATGGATGGGGCTCTCCATCCTCCTGAGGGTCTCTTGGCTTTTGAGATGTTTGTACTTTGCTGCTAATGCTTACCCAGCTACTTACTTGTGAGGTGCCAATGAACATGTGAAGGGACTCTGTTCTGTACATATTACGAAGATGTTTCTTAGTATCAGGTGGTTTTATGTAAGGTTTTTTTGGACAACCTGAGAACATGCTCAGAATATGCTGTGGTGCATATTTTATTATAAAATGACTGTACAGATAATATAGATCTCTATTTAAAAGAACTCAAGCTATGCAATAACACTGGGCTGGACTGGACTGCATGTAAATTCATCATCTCCCAGCTACCAAACTGGTGAACCCAGGTAATGAATGTCTTTGTTCTTTCTTTGCAAGTGGTAACAGTGAAAGCCACCTCATTTTGGCATCCTGCTATTCATTCTGTTATTTTCTGCCCCTTAAAGCTGCTGATGTTTTCATTTCTGTGTTGAAACTTGCAGACCACAGGGAAGAGCCCATCCCTCTCTGACTCACTCCTGCTCATAGAAATGTACAGATAAATGCTATAGAGCTGTGGATTTGAGGTTTAAGGAAATCTAAGCCTCCACAGTGGAAAAAGTACCTTGTAACAAAAATATTTACCCCAAATTGCTTCAGAGTCCAAAGCTGCAGACTAGATTGAGGGTGTTCACCCTTAGATGTGTAATTTTTTTTTCAACACAGAGATGAAAGAAAGCAAGTGGCATCCAGAGGAACTTCACAATCCTCTTTTTAATGGGGACTGCAGGGTATGTATGAGAGGAAAGGCAAGGGAGTCTCAGCAAACCTGATGTCTTTAAAAACAAGATGGGTGAGCCAAGTCTCAACTCTATATAGTTATATAGATGTGGAAAGGGTTGCATTTAAATTTCATACTGGTTAAATGCTGTTACAAATACACAAGAATGGGCTATGAATCCTTGAATTTTGTTAGTTCAGAATCTACTTACATGTTTTAGTGTGTGTGTGTGCAAATTGGTGACTGGGTCCTTAACATTACTGCTAGACATTTTCAGCCATCTCATCTTTTCTGCATCCCATCCTCTGATCAGCTAAAATAGTAGTGAAAATCCCATCCTTTCTCCAGTGATAGTTTTAAGAACTGATGTGACTGATAATGAAACTGACATCTCCCAGTTTGTGCAGAGTGGATGAAGACACTTCTTTAGAAGCAAATATTGCATGAAGAAATGCAATTTTCCAAAAAAAATGCCCTTATAAAGAACATTTTCAAGAAACACACGATGAGGTCTATCATTGAATAGCTGAATCCAATGCTTGTGTTTATGAAATCGTGCTTTGTTTGTAGTGCACTGTAGAGAGCCACAGTGATGAGTTTCAGACAGAGAGCAGGCACAAAACTCCATGGGGAGCACTAGTGAGTGTGTAACCCCAGCCCTTTCTCTCCATCTGTAGGCTAGGGGACATACTTTCAAGTGACAGTAACACAAGAAATTAAAACATTCCCTTGACATCAGAGACAATAATTCAGTCTTTGTTTCCAGATGAAAGCACAGACGCTTGCTTGCCACTGCAACAGAAGTAATTTCAAAACAAGTGTTAGGGAGCACTCCGTGGGCTATGATGAACTACAGGTTTATTGCCTTTTATATATTTTGTATCATTTCTATTCTGCCTGGATTTAGGTTACTCAGGGAATCTTGGAAAGATTCTTTTAAACTATCTGGGACTGAGAGGAGATAATGTTGAATGCATTTGATGCAAAATATAAGCATCCTGCTACAGGAAGATTTATTTTTTAGCATACAGGTAGATGTATTCAGAGAGACCTTTCAACAATACAGAATAAGACATGTAAAAACAGCCTGACACACTAGTCAGGACTTAACAATCTGGGCTATGCATACCTGGCCAAAAAAGAACAATAACCTTGTTTGTGGGATGTTTTCTCGTATGGCTGAACAGCAAAGATTTATTCTGGCAAAGCTGCCAGTATGGAAAAGAGCAAAGGGCAAAAACAGGGTGTGATAGAAAAAAAATTCAAACAAGAAAACCAACAAATGGTTTGAGTTGGGTCAACCCACATTCTAGTTTTTGACACCCGTGCACAGAGAGAAAAATGCAAGTTTGCTAGAAAAAATGCACAGATAAAATTGATGTGCTCCCTAAGATGAGGGATGAGGTTTGCTAAAATTCCACAATTCAAGATGTTTTTGTAAAACCTCTGACCATAAAAACGTCAGTACAACAGTTTGCTGTATGATCTGTCTTTACAGAAACCGTTATTTAAAACATGTCTATAAAATTTTATAAATGCAAAATATTAGTGAGGATGTAGATATGATTTTACTCATTCAGGGCTGACTAGTCTAGCAGTTTCTGATGCCTTTTTAATGCTTGATAGATACAGAAAAATTAATTGCAAAGATGAAAAAATCCTTGAGACTAGTTAAAAATTTGTCTTGTGTTTCTTTTCCTTTATCATAAAAATGGAGAAAAAACCCAGTTTCTTTTACTCATTTGCCTTGTTTGTTCCAACTCTGGGCCTTGAATTTCAAGGACTATGATTTCTTTTCAGGCATCTCTCTGACCTCAGCAGCCCTGAACTCAGGCTGGTGTTTCCAAGCACTGCAGCTAAAATGATAACAATATTAATGTTACCAGTAACTGGCATGGCATGTGATGTAGGAATAAACCTGTAAATATTTTTTTTTCACTTTCCTGTTCAAGAGAAAAGAAGTATTTCTGAATTACTGGAATGTAATTTTTTATCTTTTCTTAATAAGAACCGTGTCCATGGTTACCTCACTGCTGCCAGTCAAGTCAAGTGTTATTATCAAGGTCTTACTGTTAGTAGTCATACCTAATAAAAGTGATGGTGTTTATAGATGTTTTATTAGTCAAAATTATATTCCAGCTGAAAGGTTTGCTAAAGATGAAATGGAATTTCATTTTACATTAAACAGGAAAGAGTGCAAAGCAAAAAAAATATGTCCTATTAGAGACAATACACTGTATGCAAATTTATAAATTTAACCCTCATTTTGGAAACAAGTCTCTAAATCTTGCTGTGCAAGCAACACATGCTGCACAATAACAGCACAGCCATAACATTCAGTGTGACAGACTTCCTTGGAAATGATCTAAATCTTGTGGAATGTGAGTCAAAGGCAGGTTAATGGTAAAAACCTCTGGTGACCCACTTTTAATGTTGCACTGCTCTATCTCCTGGCAAGTGTCTGACATGGACACAAATTGCATGGCAGACAGTCCTAGCAGCAGCTACTCTTGACTGTGGTTGGGAAAGTGTCTTTTCTTAGGAACTAACTAAAGTAGATCCCTGTTCTCTTAGGAGGTCATTTAGTTGTCTTCGATTCTTGAATTTTAGGTTCTTCCCCATTCCTAAGAAGTTCCAAGTGCCTCAAAGGCCAAATGCTTCTATGCCCAAACGGCTTCAGTTAGATGGGATATTGCACAGGGTGAGACTGGGGGCTAATTCTCTAAAGACACACAAGATGTTTTGTGCTTCCAGTCAAGGCATGTAACTCTTGGCTGTCCTGATACCCCAGAGGATCAGTAAGGCTCAAGGGTGAAACTCTTGGAAGATGGTGGGCTCAGAGCTGCTTCAGACGGCCAGGGGGAATTGTCCTTTTTCCCAGACAGGCATTTTGGATAGGAGGCAGAAAGATTTGCACACCACAAGCTGCAGCCAGGGAGGAAGAATGAAGCTGTGCCTCTTGCATACTCCCTGATCTTGTGGTGCTGACCTGGAAATGCAGCTGTCCAGAAAATCTCATCCCTGTGTTAGAAAATACAAGAGCAGATGAATTATAGCATACTATTCCTTTTCTAATAATCTTTACTCTAAAATCCTTGAGGATATTGGGAATTGAATAACCCTTTTGGTTATTCATTCCTGAATAGGGGAGTCTCATTTTTTATTTCTTTTTACCACAACTTAATTAAATATTACTTGAAAGAGGGGGTATGATGCCCCAATTAAATGGATGACTGCTGTAATCATAGAACATTTTTGAAATTAAAAAGAAAGGTTTCCTGTTCCAGGTGCAGGCAGTACCATGGATACCAAGGATGTGTACAGTCCCAAGGACTAATGCACAAGGGCAGTGAAGCTGAAGTAGTTACATTAATGTTACTATGGCACATAACTTCTCTCTGACCCAGGGAATACAACAGCTTGTACTTCAGTGAAAGGGAAGGAAGCATGTCTGCATTGTGCCATGGAGGGGAGACGCAGAGACATTCAAGCTGCTGCAGAACTGAAATAATATAATTGCACTAGCACATTGCAAATAAGGTCTGCCAAGAGGACTGGCATCATTATCTAACCTAGTGATTATGGAGCTTGGCCAAGAGTGATGCATTCCTGGTCCCAGTCTCACTGTCCTTGATTATTTCTGGCTTGTATTTGTTTTTTAATCCAGATGCCATCTGACATTGGATATTTGAACATCCCAGGGAGCAGAAGCTGAGTCCCAGGTCTCTTCTACTCAAATCCAGGTTTGTTCTCCTTTGCAGGCTCTGCATTTTCCCCCAGGAAGTAGAAGCCATAGTTTCAGCTCTCCTCAGCAGGGAAAAGCCTGGAATTCAGGTCTACCACTTCCTGAGCAAATACTCTATTCAGGTATTATGCAAAAGGCCATGTCTGTGAATAAAAACTTGGCATACATTAAGATTGCTCAAAGCATACCAAATAAATCAGGCTCTTCAGGAGGGACAGCTAGTTTGTAAATCCCAAGCAGCCTTTGTTGACAGACAAGTGCTTAGATTGTCAGCTCAGCTTGGATTTTTCAGAAATCTAGTGCAAAATCCCTTTGTGTCTTCAGTTTTCATTACCCTCTGAGCTGTGAGGAGAAATATTCGTGTTTGGCATTCAGGATGAGGTGCTTTGCCTGTCCTGTGCACCTATAGCAGCTGCACCCAGAGCCCCTTTCCTGCAAAAGGATTTGTGGCCAAAGAGCAGCAGTGCAGTGAGAGCAGGAGCAGTGCTGTTTGAGGGGACAGCACCCAGTGAATCAAAATTCAGAACAGGAGGCTGGTAAATGTATCAAGAGGGAAAACACAAACAGATCCCCAGTCAGCTTACATGTTCAAAAGATGCTTAAAAAAAAAAAGGGGAGAAAAAAAAAAGGTTATAGATAGAACAAAGATGTTAATTTAAAAGGAATTGTATAAGCCCAAATTTTAATTCAGTTTTGAAAGGAAACAGCCTTTTACTACACACATGAGCAGTTAAAGTCTCACCCTTGTTAGTTTCCCAAAAAGTGATGCTGATTGCTTACAAACTGAGCACTCAGAGCAACTGTCCAGAGGCTGTGGCCCATACCTAAGCAGCCAGATAGTTTAATAACAAGTGACAGCAAGTTCTTTTGTGCACCTATCCTGCACTTGGCTAACTGCTCAGGATGTCCTGGAAGATGATGTCTGTCAACAACATTTATGTCTTGGTTCTTCTTCAGAGATGTGAAATTAGAAAGCCTGAAATGTCTGTCCTGGGTGCTCAGAAAGTTGTTACTACTCTGGCATCTTTTCCCAGACAGTATTAATTCTCCAACTGAGTTGCACAATGGTTTATACATACGAAATATATTTATGTGTCCACAGTATAAGGATTGCCAGGGCTTATTTGCATTTGTGGTTTATAAAACCTGATTTCCTGAATGCGTGACAGTGCCCTATATTGTCTCCTGATATGCTCTGAAAACCAACTTTTAGCCTATTCCTAAGGCTGCTTACATTATTGTAAAGTTGTTGAGTTACCTCTAACGGAGCCAGCAGCTCACTACTGATATTTTATTCCCTTGTGAGATGGTAAAGCAACTCTTTTTCTCAGCTGCATTAGTTGTCTCACTGCGGATAACTCGGCCCAGATTTACATAGGTGTTGGATGTCACAGCTGCATGTTCCACTGGCAGCAAAAGGCACCCAGGAGTGCTCAGTTCTTGCTGAAAAATGACACAATTCAGATTTCAAATTTACCACTGCAAATTAGACGAGTGGAAAGTATGAGGCAATGAAGGATGGGATTTATTTGCATTCTCCTGATTCTTGTATGCTGGTGTGACTACTAAATATATTTTGAGATCCCCTGAGTCTTAGTGAAAATGTAATATATTTATTTTGGTCTTAACAAGGAAAGGAAGAAAATGATGGATGAAATTGTATGTCACAAATTTTATTTAAACATGCTGTCATGGATTTGCATTTTATTTCTTGGTCCAACTGGAGTAGGAAAATCCTGCTTTTTCAGCTCTCCAGGTTCTCCAGGAGTACCCCCTAAAGAGCTGATAAAACAAGTGTGACAACTCAAGATAAAGAATTGCTCCTGGCTAATTGTTTCCAAACTACAGATGCAGTCACATAGTCAAAAATCATCATGGCCAGTTCGTGGAACAGCTGTTTCATATAGAAATGCTGTGATTCATTTTGTATTCCTGTCCATTATGTGCTCTTGGTGAATTTAGTGCAATTATGTGTAGAAAAAGGTTATTACTTTTTTTGAGGCAGGTACTTGTAAGCTGCCATTTTCCAGAGCTGTATTTCTGTGCTGCATTTTTCCTCTCTATGAGAAGCAGCCAGAAGGTGTGTCAGAAAGACATTATCTTCAAAAACACATAAAAGGTGTCAGTCTGATTTTAACACAGTTTTGTGCAATTTATTTTGTTTTCTGTCACATTAACTGTTAAGTGTCCTGTTTGGTAAAGATGCATGCTGATAGGAAAAAATCCGAATGAGAAATGGCAGGATTTTCTAAAGAAAATTGCTTGTGAGAAATTTTGCTGGGCTGTTCCTTCTATTGCAACAAATAAACAAACTGCTATTCCAACAGAAGGGACTCCGCCCAAATTTGGCTCTCTGCACATGGGAATGGGTGTGGAACTGAAGGCACAGTGATCCTGTCTGCTAATTTTCCTGGGTGTTTGCTCTGTTATCTCACTTTCCTTCCTATAAAATGGGATATTAATCCTTCTTTCGTTCAGAGAATTAGTTGGGTTTTGTGCAGTCCTTTGGTACTATTAATGAAGGATTTCCTCTGCAATTTAACTCATCTCTCCCTCTTTGCACAGACAATCCTCACTACACCAGGAACCTTTCTTTGCAGAGTCTGATTTGCTGTTTTTCATTAGGAGCTGATGAATGTAAAGCTGAGATTTTCCCTGAGAATCTGGAAGTGAAGCTGAAATCACTTCAGTGAAAAGTGAGCCAGCATGGTGAGTTTTATATTCCTAAATTAGTACTGAAGAGAAGGGGAAAACTTAAGAAGTAATTTCACAGAAAAGCCTCAGTGTGCTGGTGAGTAGGAAAATAAAGTATTCTTCACCCATGAATCATGCTCACTCCCGGGGAGGAGAGATAGATACTTATTGCTCTTGCCATTTACCCTCTAGCCAGCTGTCTGAAGAAGAGTCATGCACCTATAGCCACATGTTGAAAATATCTTCTCTGCTCTCTCGAGTTGTTATAATGGTTAGAACAGAGAAGAATTGTGAAGGACTTCATTATTCTTCCCATTTAATTTTGCAGGATGCCCTTTGGTGCTTCTGCTCTGCGGTACAGCAGAGTCATTCTGATTGATGTATACATCTGGTGGACACCAAAATAAGGCTACCATTACTAAGAAATACTGACTTTGAAGTCACGATTTACAAAAAGAAGAAAGAAAGCAGTAAGAACATTTTGAAAATATGAAGTAGCAATGCTTACTAATTTAGCAGATATAGCACAGAAGGAGAACACCAAAAAGCAAATAACGCCCCCTTAAAGTATGGGACTCTAGTGCTGGCAAGCACCAGTTCAGTCTTATCTCCCATGGATACAGTTGGATGCAGCAGCAGGAGTGTTATTTTCTCCCTGCATGATACGAGTCACTTCCACAGGAGACAATATGCAATCCTAAGAGCTAAGCACTAGGTGTTTCATATTTGCTGAATCTCTTGCTTTGAGTCATTGATTTCTTCACATCGAATCTCATCTCTGGCCCAGTTAGTGAGCCATTAAGTGAGGACTCTACTGTGTTGATGAAATAATAATTCTGTTTACAGAGTGCCTTCTCACCAAGGCACTGTGGGTGCAGCACACTGTCTGCTTAATTCACACTCTTTTAATAATTAAAGCTTTTCTACCTAATGCCTTTGTGAAAAACTGAATTCTTGTGTAAGCTTCAACCAGAAGCATTTGCAGGGTGACTTCCTGGGGAGAAGTTCCTAGAAGGTTGCCCATTTGTTTGGTGCCAGAGCAAACTTTCCTCTAGAACGAGGAAAACATTTCCTTCTTTTCAGGAAGGTGCTCAGGCTTCGTCCTCAAGCACATCAGCTGAGGAGAATGCAGGTGTTCTCCATTTCTGCCATGCCTTTGTCCCATTAGGGATCACCATACTCTGAATGCATGAGTTGTGTGACAATTCAGTCTTTTTTCACCTTCTAAAAAGTTAAAATATGCCGAAATGATATTCATATTCTTTAAATGATAAATTGTCTTTTGTTAGCAGACAAAAAGACAAACTTAGGAAAAGTAAGGGCTAGCATGACTTGCTGCATCCAGCCCAGTCCAGAACAGCAGGAGTTTACCCACCCAGATGAGAAAGAAAAAACTCTTGTTAATATATTTTTGGACAATCACCTTCTACAAAACTCCTCTATTTTGTTTTTCTTTAATTCTCATGCATAATTTGGGAAAGAAGGAGACAGGAGTGAGGTATGCTGGCTGTTAGATGATGTGCTGTCTCTTTCCCTAACACCTGCACACTGCAGTGTGAGCAGTTCCTCACGTTCCACTTAAGATTCCATGGGGACACTTGCAAAACCTGTCCAGAGCTTTTCTTTCCTGGGCCACAAAAGCACATCTTTGTATGCTTGGTGAATCTAATCCAGGAGGGAATAAGGTTCAGTTACAAAGGCAAAAGTTTTGCTTTAACCTTAAGGGCTTGTGTCTCCTTTTTTTCCCTTCTGTGGACATTCATGATGTTTTTGTAAAAAGAGACATTAGGGCTCTGTACATACTTTGTGTGGGTGTAAAAATGACACACAAAAAGAAGGAGCACAGGTCATAATCCTAAAGTGGCATTATTTGTGATTTGCATCTGTAGATCTGCTCTTGGGCTAATACTGGGTAATTAATTAGATGTAGTGGCTGGATATAGCTCTGAAGTGACCACCTACAGGGGCATAGCTGAGAAATCAGCTGTGAAACATGGTGACTCACACCTGACTGACATACTTCCCTTAACCTGTGGGAAGGCTCCCAGAAGCTGAAGCTCTTGTAGCAAAATTTAGACTTCAGGTCACATTACTGCTTGTTTTTGAAGTATGCTTTGAACAGGAAGAAAACCTAGCAGGGAACAGATGATAGCCCATGTTGGCAGGAATGAATTAATTTGTTTCTTACACTTGTGTGTGGCTTCAGGAAGCAGTGTCTGTTCCCACTGCCATGGCATGTCCTTGGTGGCCCTGTCGGGGGACCACTGACATGCTCAATAGGTTAAGCTCATCAAGCTGAAACATCTTGAAAGTGCCCAGCTTTTATTTTTTTCTTTTAGTGTTCTTGCATTTCTGCTCTCTCTCCCTATATTTGGAGGGTCTCTGGCTAAGGGATGGTGCAGAGAGTAATTCCAATTCCCACTGTGTTGTCCCAAACACTTTCTCTGGGGGCAATAGGCTGCAGTAGTGGTTGCCCATTTGTTTGGTTCTGGTGGCTTTAGCCCACCTGTGAACTGTTTCCTTGAAGCTACTGGGTGTCCTGGTGTCTGGCTGCTGACAGAGGGATGGAGCTCATGTGGGAAGGGTAACCAGACCCCAGGAAAGCTGTTGGGTGAAAGCAAATGTCATTGGCCAAACCATGTGGCCCCATTGCTGGTGTGAAGGCAGGGGAGCAGCTAACACCGTCTCCTCAAAAAATGCCTTTGAAAATATTTTTCTGAGATTTTTACTTTGCTTTTGTCATAAAAGCCAAGGCTAGAAGATAGTTTGAGAGCTCTTTAAGACAAATCCTTTTGTGCCTTTCCTACAGATGCAGGTAATTGCAGAGAGATTTGGGATCTGTCTAAGTCAGATCCTGCCCATTAAAAAATAGATCTCAGTGCTGGATTTGACATGCAGTGTTGACATCCTTCTTTCTGTAGTAAGTCAGATGATATGTTTAGCAGACAGCTACTTTGACAACTTTCCTTCTGAGAAGCTAAAGGAGGAAAATGCTGAAAATTTCCTGATTTCCTGTAGCTTTTGACATTTTATGTGCTTGCTGGGCTAATCTTTGTAAAATCTTGATATTGGGAGGTCACTTACTGATACCAGAGGCAAATGCAACTCCAGAGACTTCATTTCATTGCAGTTAGGGAGCTGGACCTCCTGTTAACAAAAAATATTGCCTTGCAATTCCCTACATTAAAGGGAAAACAGACCCACCAGCTTCTGAACTTTGATATCAGTTCTGCAGGATCTTTCTAAACCTTTAATTTCTTTCCATTAGAAAAATCACCTGCACAAATTTTTCAAAAATTATCAGATGAATACTATTTCCTCTTCATAGTTTAAATCACATCTCGAATGATTCCCTACACAGATTTATTTACTTTTTCCTTTCACTTTGCTGCACTAGGAACTACCTTCTATATCTTGAATAGCTGAATAGCTAAATACCCATATTATGTGATAATGACTAGCTCCACATACAGACCCTGAAGCCAAAATGAAGAGTTGTTGAACAAGGCTTGAGCTGCCTATGTGCTCATTGAGAATGAGATGAAAGCCAGACAAGAGCCTTGTAGAGGAGTCAGTCTGGATGTCTCATTGTATCACCTCCTGCATTAACAGGAAACACCTAGAGTGTTTCTGGAAGCCTTTTGACTGGTTACTATGAATATATTTTTTTCAAAATAATTCTTTTCCGTAGGGTGTAAAATATCTAGTTTGTTTTCATTTGTATTGGTTTGAAGAGCAACAATGCACATACCATATTTTTTTTTGAATATCTGAGGAGAGTGTTTTGCTTGCTTGCAGTTATAAATTTTTAGGAACATGTGTAACAAAGTGTCTGTGTGTTTTGGGAGAGTTCCAACCATGAATATTTTTAGTGTGTCTGACATCCATGTGTCTGGTAGAAGTTACTATCACCGTATCCTTTCTGAAGGTACAAGCAGGCAAAGAGGCTTCTTCTCACAAAATCAGCCATAATGAACAATTATTATATATTAATGTACAGGGATTTATTTTGTTAAATGGCTTGGTCATGTTTGCCCTCTAGTGGCAGTGAGTTTGCAGCTGATGGACCCCTGGAAGTGGCCAAGAGGAGCAGAGAACCTCAGTAAAGGATTTTATTTAACTCTGTTCTTTGTTTTGTGGTTCTATTTATCAGCTTCTACTGTGAACATATAACTGTACAGGGAAGGCCTCCTCTCACCTAGAGGTCAGGGTGAAGTGTGAGTAAACCTATTTCCTGCTGCTCCATTCTCTCAAGGGTAAAACCATTGAGAAGATCACCAAGTCTCTTATCTAGAAGGTAAATGCAGCAGCAGGTGGTAGGAGCAGAGGGAGCTGCAGTTTGGTTTCCTGAGGGTTTGCTGTAGGAATCTGTTCAGCTTGTTGAGACACACTTGGTTATGTAGTGCTTTCCTGACAGCCCTGCTTGCTGACTAACAAGGGAGAAATAAGCCCTACAAATAGCATAATGCAGAATTCAGGCAAAGAGAAGAACTTAAAGTAGAAAGGTCTTTTCATGGGAAGGGAATCTTCTGGGGAGGGAAGAGGGTAATGAAACCCAGTAGCTGTGAAATTGCTGTGTGATCACCAAGCAAGAAAAGTGCTTGGTTTGTCATTTAGAAAAATTATTGCAGTTTTCAGTCTTGAGACATTAGAATAGTAAGGCAGATTCTGCCACACATTTTATTTCTCATATATTGTTTGAAAAGATCTATCAACATTTTTGCAGCAGAAGAAACTTTTTTCCTTTCTTCCTTAAGTGCATGTTGATGTGGAGGAAAACAGCAAGGCTCATGTTTTCAGTGTTAGTGCAACTATAGGGGAAATGGTTGACATTTAAGGATGATGTAATGAGGAAATTACCAGGTATTTTCCAGAGGGGCTGACTCTGGGTGATCCCACTCATCTGTATTCCTTGTACCTATGGCTCAGGGACATTGGTTTTTAAAAAACACTATTTATTATGTCTTGATTGCCTTAGGATGAAGTGCTTGTAGAACAGTGGAAGTGTTATGAGAGCCTTATTGGATGAGAGACTTCTCAAACTAAAATATGAGTTTTGGCAGCTTGGCTAAACAAATACATTTCCAGCTAGCAGTTGTGAAAATCTCACACTGTCTCCAGCCCAGAGGTTATGCAAATGTAAGCTGTTGTGGCACTGCTTGTCTCTTCTGCTCCATATGGAGCTGCAGTTAAAAGGGGACTTGATGACTGGAACAATGGTGAAGGGATGGACACAATTACAGGAAATATTTCTATTACTGTTATGGAGCCATTCAGGCATAGAGTCCTGATCACTGATTTCAGAACAAATCAGATGCATATATAAATAATTAAAAAACTTGCTTTTAAGTGAGTCTTTTAAGGAGAAACAAGCCCAGGAAGAGCAAAAACTTACACATTTCAATTACTCTTTGGTACCATGCTGAAAACATGGTGACCTGGTGGCAGCAGGCGACTGAAGGTGACATTCAAATATTTTTAATATAAAGGAGTTATCCCTAGAATTGATAATAGTAGCTGTGTAAGAAATGAGAACTCCTTCTTAATTATTTTTATATTCATATTGATATGATACAGAGCCATAGTATATCTGAGCTATGATTCTGCTTGGCCAGGGCAGGGTTTAGTCTGTAGGTGTTCTTTCATGTAAAGCTGCAGATTTGGTAGAACACAGAGCACAGAGCTTTGCCTGTGCCTATAACCTAAACCATGACCTTTAATTCAGCCAGTCTGTGCCTGCTTGTTAGGAGAAAGCTGAAACGAGATACCAAAGGATGTACGAAAATTTTGTGCTTTGAGCTTCAGATCTTTGAGCAATTGAAATGAAATAAATTAATCCAGCACTTCAGAAAAGCTCCTTTGTCCCCTGCCTGAGTGAAGAAGGTGGGGCAGAGAGCAGCCTGCAGGTGCTGCAGGAAGAAGCCGCTTCCCAGGGCAGTCTGGGGCTGTCACACCGCGCTCGCTCTGCGCACGAGGGGGATGTCAGCATCCCAGAACTGCTCATGAGCGGAGCAATCCATTTTGTCTATCCACCAGCTGGCCAAGAGGTGCGGGCAGTGCCAGGTTCCCTGTCTGCCTGGTGCTAACCAGCTGGCCCTGGGCATGCTCAGGAGCCTGCAGAGCCAAGCTGAAGGCAGGAGGCAGCGCAGGGGAGCTGGCTGCTGGCTGGACTCGAGCTGGCAGCCTTACCCGGCCCGGGAAGCAGTGTAATCCGTATGGCTGCAGCTGGGGATCTGAGCACTTGGCAAAGGGGACAGCCTGCCTGCCAGATTTATTTTGGTCTGTCAGGCAAGGTCACCAATTAATTCCTCTGGAGCATTTCAGTTTGGTTGCATTAGGATTTTCCAATGTGAAGCTGTAGTGTTGTAGAGACTGATGCCCAGCTTCACAGAGGAAAGAAAAATACTTAGATGCAATATAAGTACTTATACTCAAGACTGAAATCCTTAATACTCCCTTCTATACCTTTAAATAGTGAAGTCTTTCACTGCCTAATTTTCACAAGCTGTAGAGCTCTCCAGCATTCTAAAAAGCAGCCTTGCCTTTGCTCAGAAATGGTGGAAAATACACAGGTCTCAGCCCCTTCTTACACAGATGATATGAAAAGTGTCACACAACTTGCTCTTCCCTCTGTACTCCACCTGTGATTATGCTTATACCGCTTTCCATTCACTGATTTAACAGGTTGAGCAATCATTGGTGATGTGAGCCTCCATCCCTGGCCCACCCTCCTCAGCTGTGTTTCAGAATGGGCAATCCATGTGCCAAAGCCTAGAAGGTGATTTCAGGTATGGAAACTGTTCCCAGGGAGTCTAGGCCCTGTGGAATGGGATGTGTATGATGACATCTTCAGCATTTCCTGTTGAAGCCTTGGTAGGGATTGGGCTGGAGGGAAGGATGCCTCAGACCCCACTCTCCTTAATAAGGGAAGTGAGTACATTGCTCTGGGATGAACACTGTGCTCCAGACACAGGAAAGTCAGGCCTTGTAATACAGAGAATGCCAGAGGAAACGGGGCACCGTGACTCATGGTGTAGATCAAAAGGAAGTGGTGTTATTTCTCAAAGGTGAATCATTCAGAGATGTATCTGCATTGAGTCTGCAGTAATGTAGGCAGGTTAATGCCGCTGTAAAACAAGCACTTCTCTGCCAGTTCCAGCCCCAGCCTGAGCCTGTGTTAATCTCTTATGCCCATAGTGAATCTAATTTGTATATCATCCTCCAAATCATGATCAGAGCTTGAATAGTACTAGTTTTGTTTTGACCACAGAAGAAGGAATCTGAGTAGAATTCTAGGATGTTAGCTTATTCAGCCCAAATTCTAGGCTCTGTTTTATTTTTTGTTTCTGTAATTATCTTTTTCTATCAGCTGGCAAAAAACAAAGCATCAAAACAGCTCTAATTAGAGTAAATTCTCAATCACATAAGAGACAGATATGACCACAGTTACACTAGGCATTTAAATATTGTTTCATATCATGTCTGTGAGGAATGTTGGGGTACTTTTTCTTGTGAATCTTAAGAAGATACGTGAAGGTTAGGTGCCTGCATGTGTCCTGACCAGACCAGTGGATGCATAAATAGGGAAGGGAAACTGGGACTACAGAAAGAGACAGACAGATAATGAAGGGAAAGCTCTGTGATCAGATCTGTCAATATAGATAATTCCTGCTTATCAAACCCCATCTGAAAGGCAACTTAATAATATTAGGCCATAGAAGTGTTTGCTGTGAATTACAGCTAAGTGAACTGCAAGTGAAAAAAGAGGGATAACCAGATTTTTTCTGTGCATTAAGCATTTCCAGGTACCAAAATAACAGCCTTCTCACACTGATTCAGGATGCACTGTAAGTACTATTTTCGAACAGCTTTGGATTTTTTAGTAAACTGTTCTTCCAGTACTGCTTACAGTATAATTATTGCTTATCCAGCAATACCAGAAATAAGAATGTTTTATGCAATGCTTTTTTCCTCTGGGGACAATGTGAAATATTGTATTCAGAATAGTTCCAAACTGTAATGTACTCACAGGAAAAAAAAAAATCACATAGTAATCAAGTGTGAAGATAGAGGGAAAAACACCCCACCCCAAACCTTAAATGGAATTTATGTAAAACTACCTGGAATATATCAGACCTATAAAAAAACCTCAAGGAAAAACATTTAAGCCATTGTAACTAAATAAAACAAGCCAGTAGATGGCATGAGAGACCTTAAGATTCGACAAAAACTCAGATGGCCACTAATAGCTATTCCTGCAACCTTCTGAGCTGTCTCTGGTTTTAGCCCTAACTACTGTATTTGCTGGATTCCTGAGGTTTCTTATTCATCAGCTGCACTTAGATCCGCACAGTACATTTATTTTTAGGGACAACTAAAGTTCATTTAATAACTCATTCAAACATGCTGAGTAAAAGCCTGGCTCTGTTGAGTTTAACCATTGGCTTCAGTTGAGTTAGAATTGAAGATGCTTTTTTTTTTAATGCTCACGCTGCAGAGCTGGCATTTCATTTCCAGGAAGGGTCTGGTATTAGTGGTTTTGTCCTTTCCTATCACGCTGCAGCTTCTTTCTCTGGAGCAGAATGATCCTACTTTCCTGAGAGTCACTGTGTCATTTAAAATTAGTGAATCAAAAGAGCCAGGTCTGATGGACAAAATGTTTGTTGTCTTTGTCTAGGATACAAAAGGCTGTGTCTCCAAAAGCCTTTTTGCCTATCTGTCTGTAATAGCACCATCCAATTCTAGGCTTTTAGGAATAATCCACTAAGGTTTAACCAAAGCTGACCGTGAACAGATTAAGTATATTGTTTTGATTTTTCCAAATGTATAGTTATTTTACAGTTGGATGAATCTGAAAATGAAAACCTTCAACTTAGCAATAAAATATACTCATGTGGTTAGGAGATCTAGTGGAAAAATTTACTTTTCATTTCTAGAATCACTGAAGAACTTGCAAAAGACATATGGGACTATAAATTCATAAGCATTTCTGACTCCATCAAGTAGGTAAGCAGTCATATCTTTCTGATGCAGAAAATGAGACACAGAAGTCCCCAGCCTCATGCAAAACCACATTACAGAGCTGCAAGGGCAGGATTAGGATGCAAGCCTGGCTTATGCTTAGGTCTGCATCTTTTTTCTGACACTTAAAAAAAAAACAATACTAGAGTACCATAATTGCAAGATTATATTACTTGGTTACTGCAGTAAAGTCCAGAATTCATTAATACATACAGTTGAGAAGCACTAGGAATGAAAAGTGGAATGCATAAAAGCTCAGTCTGTGTAGTACACATTTTAATACTCAGTTGGGTACATAGCTTTGGCTTGCTTTATAAGATAGGACAGGCATGATTTCCAAATGAGGTTTAAATCTGGACTGCAGATATTCTCCCAGATGGGTTGGAAATGTCTGTGTGGTGCATTAGAAATTCCAGAAGGGCTTTTTCACACTTGTACTGCTAATGTTCTTAATTCCTTTGGCAAAATGAGCTGGTTCTAAGTCTTTTGCTTTGCTGTGCACACTACCAACCTCAGGTTTTTCTAACGTTCATTACATTGTGATTTTACAGCTGCAGAGAAGCTTTTCAGGCAGTCAAAGGCATTCAGCTGTCTCAGCAAGAGGGCACTAATGAACAGGAGTTGGCCAGAAAGGAAAGCTGCCCCTTGGAAGTGGAAATGGGAGCTGTGTCCCACCCATGCCCTGTGCAGAGCAGAGCAAGGTCTGTGCCTGGGCTTTAGCAGAGACTGGTTCCCCCGGGTGGAGCCTGCACCCCAGCTCAGGCTGCGGTGCTGCTGGGGTGATGGTGAGTGAATTCCCTGCCCCAGGAGCAGAATTTCTTCTCTTACTAATGGCTCTTGGCTATTACTAAACCCCTTAGTTTTAGTAGTTGAGCATGAAACTTCATTTTTCTTCTCCCCCTACTACCATTGTCTTATCTGAAGTGGTTGACTGGCAAAAGTTTCTCTTTTGTAAACAAGGGGATTAAAGAGAGAGGTGTTGGATTAAAGATGACAGTCTGATCCTATGAAAGTCAATGTCAAATCTCCCATAAGCCACGGTGAAAACAATACCAGCAAGACAAGAGCTCTCCAGGTGTAAGACTAGTGTGATTTTAAGGGAAAGTGGAACACAATATTCTTCATCTCCCCTCTTGTTTGAGGCTATCTGTTTTGCAATCTAGCACTTCTGATGAGTTAAGAAAGCACAGCTTTTGTACAATTTGTGAATGCTTTATTACAAATAAAAACACAGGGCAAGAATTCATGTTACTGATCTTAGTTTGAGGATACATGCATGGAAAAAAGCTGTTGAAAAGAGCACTGGCTATTTGCATATATTCTCAAATACAATACACAGAAGAATTAAGGCTGGGGAGGAGAAAGAGGCAGGTAATTGCCTTTTGCCTTTGTAGGTTATCTCCAGGAGACAGGCTTGGGGCAGAGGCAAATACCCTTATCCCAGAGTATGCATCAGGCATCTGGTTTGAACAAATTCGAAATGGCTTACTCTGGAAGTGATGTTATGGCTGTACATGGAGAAAAACTGGGCCTTTTCTGAAAGCTAGTGGCAAGCTGCAACTCGAGAGAGAGTAAAAGGAGAACCTCCTTACATTACTCATGCTTCTGCTCTTGAAAGAAAAGCACTGTGAAGTGTTATGCTGTAATTGTTCAACCATTTAGTCTTCAATCATCTTTCTGATAGATCAGTTTTTAGTTAGAAAGAAAAGTATTTTCTTTAATGGCAGTTTCCTGCCAGGGTTTGGGTTCAGCTGTACCTCGCCCACTCTAAGGCTTCCCTTGGAAGAGTGTGTTGGCTGCTATTGACTGCTATGGAAAACATACCATGGTTCAGTGCACGGCTGATTTGTGACATAGGGTGAAGAGATATTGTGCCATTGCTTGGGGGTTTGAAGGTGCCTCCTATTCCTGGTCCCCTGGGGTGGGAGGGAATTACCTTTCTGCACAGTGAAAGCTAGCAGATTGACTCTTCACTGGTTAAACACAATCTGACTGTCCTGCTTGTATTTTATTTTAGCTTTATGATGCTATTGATCTTACATATCTTTCTATATATTGCTTTTCGGAGTATTTGGAATGCTACTTGATGTATTATTGTTCCCTGAAGTTTTTGAAGCCATCATTTTCATAAATATACAATAGGAGATGGTAAAGGAAAAAAAAAGTTCCTATTCACACTTTTAGTTAGTTCATGAAGCAACAGCACATCCATTGAAATTTAAATGAAAATGGGGACTGTGTCACACACTATAGCTCTCTGGAAAGCTACAGTGGGAGTCTAGCAGTCCAATTCATTCCTTTGTAGAATGTACTAAGGCTAATGGTCTTGCTGGGAGTAAAATATATTTTTTTTGCAGAATGGTTCCAGGAACAGACGTTGCTCTTTACCAGAAAACATAAAAGAAAACAAATGCTTACTGTGTCTTTAGTATGCTAAATATGAAATTCTTTGCACAATGGAATGTTAGCAGTAGCCATAATCATGTTTTCCTTTCATCACCTAGTGAACGTAATTTTAAGAGTGGACTGCTGTAATTATATCGCAGATAAAAGGGAGCAGAATTTCTGTATAATATTATAGTTGGCCTGATTGTTTTGTTGATAGGGAAAAATAAAGAGAGACCACATGAATACTTATTTAATGAACATATTTATTAAGCAGTGCAGACTGTACATAATGCATTTGACTTTGCAGTAGACTTACTTTCTTCAAGCACCTTTCTTAATATTTTACTACAGCTATTATGTTCTCTTCTTATCTGTCCAGCTATTCAATTATTTGTGTAGTATGTCTATAGCACAATGCCAAAACGTTTAGCTTAACTACAGCTGCCAGTGCAGGTACAATCAATGTCAGCATCCACAGACTCCACTACATCTTCAGATGCAGATTTCTTATCGCTGCTTTTCTGCCATTCCAACAGGCTTACAGCAGTTTCTGTCAGAAGAGTGAAGCCATTGTTAACTAACATCAAGCAAATTAACACATTTCAAAGAAATACTGTTTTGATGTCTGTCAACTCCCTAATCAAGTAAAGAATGAAATCCTGCCCTCACGACTGACATCTGACTCATTGACTTGGAACAGGATTTTCATCCATGATATAATTACTGTATTACTTCCCTAAAACCAAAATGAATTACATTTCATGAAGCACAAAGACAAAAGGACACTGTGAATGTGCTGGAGGTAGCCCCTGTCAGTGTAAGACCACCACGTACCAATCCACGTCAGCAATCACTTCTGTTAGTGCTGCATATACTGGGTATTTCTGCTGACTATTTGTCGAAGTTCATTTCTGAAGGGTAAGCCCTTTGGAGAATTTTCAGAGGTTCATAAACTTCTAATTAAAGTTTCCTATATATTGTGAAATCTGGCAGAGCACTGTCAGTTGCAGTATTAACCTTACCACACTGCTTTATCAACAGCAGCTTGAATAAGCCATATTCTTAATGCTGAAATAATCTAAATGGAATAATGATATTCATCCTCCCAATAAATATTCCCAGCTAGTTGGAGGTTTATCATTGCATTGGAAGAATATTAGGATATCCATTTAGATTAAGTTTGTATAATGAGAATGTGTAAAGCTTTCATAATTTTACTTCCATTTGTTTTATCCTTAGTTGGACAGTACATATATAACATGCCATCCCTCATCACAGGGAAATATGGACACTGCTGTATGAATTCAAGTTGTATCAGTCACTTAGCTTCTGAAAGGTTACCACGCTCCATGGCTAAATTACTGTCCAACATTAAGCGCAGGTTTTGCATAATAAACTGGACAACAAATATTTCCAAGAAAGATGCTGGAGATGCTTTTAAAAATGTATATTATATTTTCAGGCTGTGAAATGAGAAATATTATAAAATGTCTGAATTCTGTTTCATATATACATTATGTCTCTTACTCTTGGCACACTATGGGTCTGAGCACATTCATATCCATGTAGGAAATGATTTCCTTGCAAACTGGATCATGGCTGGGTAACTGATCCCCATGTAACTGATACACTTGTGGCATGTTTGAAATATAAACCTATATGTGGACTTAAACTTGGAGTGATGCCTGCCTCAGTCGAGTTCCTAACGCTACAGTCTTGCTGATTTGAGGACAACAGGAGAAATTATGCTTTCTTGTACTTCATTTTATCCTTGCTCCACTGGTGACAGTGATGGGGTCCTTCAATTTTGAAACAGCAAACTATATCTGAATTCTCATATAAAGAGTTGGGAAAAGTACTTTGTCGTGTGCATGCATGTTCCTAGGTTTAGAAAGGAAAAGATTTCTACTACTTTTACTGCTTCTCCAAGTCATTAGACAAAGAAAAAGAGTAGTTTTTAAGTGCTGGCCTTGTATTCCTATTGATCTTTAGCCTAAGAAAAAGCAATCAATTTAGCAAGCTAAAGAATGATAAATGGAATCTTTTTCTTCCTCCTCCCTCTCCTCCTCTTTTTCTGCTCCCTCTTCAGGACAAATAAATAAATAAATAAACATACAAATTAAATAAATAAGGTCTTGATTAGAAATATTGCAAGCAGACTTCTTGATCTTGGTTTCAGTAAATGAACAAGAGAAGCCTGCAGTTGCTCTGAAAGCAGCACTGGTTGCAACAACTAACATATTTTTTTCTGATTTTCCTCTTTTCTCAAACTGTTTTGTGAGAGAATGAGACAGCTTTATTATAGCCTAATATTCTAAGATAGTGAGCGGTCTGGGGTTACGACATTTCAGAGATACAGACTTGGATATACAATAGAAATCTGTGAAACGTGGATATAACAAAATTTTGGAAGGATTTTTTGTAGAGGGTGGGTTTTTCTATTTATGAAAGAATGCATCCATTCTCATCTCAGGGAGCCATCAGAAAACTATTGACACTCTGTGCTACTTGTTGAATAGGCTGTTGCAGATATTTGACTATTGCTGAGCGACCCTCTCCGCTTTTCTGGGCTGATTCAGCACATTGCAGATATTAATAACACAAGCAAAGTGCAAAGTCCTACACACACATTTAAATTCAGACATAAAATACCTGTCCTTTCCAGTACTGCTCAACACAGAGGTGCATTGGCTCCAGTGAAACTGCACTGGATTATCTCAGCTAACAATGGATTTGGCCAACAATGGTTAACAGAGAACAAACCGCTTCAATAGATACTTCCTAACGTTAGCTTTCCCTGTAAGCCATATAAGTAATTAATTAAAAGACTTAGGAAAGAATGCACCAGAAATATTTGTAGGTTCCAGGCTGGATTCTCCTTTCATGATTACATAACTTCAGTGTGAAAGTCTATTAGACAGTGCCTCATATCCTGGTATAAATGAAATGAGAAAAATGTTTGTATTTTTTTGTTTCTTCTTTTTTTTTTTTTTTTTAATCTGGGGCATGAGGGTTTGTGTTTTTTTGTTTCTTCTTTCTTTTTTTTTTTTTTTTATTTATTTATTTTTTTAATCTGGGGCATGAGTATATGTGTATAAAATACCTTAAAAACCAAACCATTTTCTGGAATAATCTACAGAAACTTCCAGCAATGTGGTTTTGCTGATGTATTGCACAGTGGCATAGCATGGCAGTCTAATTACAGCACTCATGTCACACTACCTGACTGACTTTCAATTGCCTTGCCTGCCCTGGTCCACACAAAATTGCAGGCTGTAATGTACATAAAAGGACTCAGTGTTGCTTATCTCAACTTCATGGAGATCCTGAAGACATGACAAATTTTTTTTTGTGATTTTATTGATCGCTGCTGCCCCTTTTACCTCCTCAAATGTTTTTCTCAGATGATGCTACCTGCCATCACCTAAGCTAGCTTTTAGCTGGCCAGCACTGTCAGCAGTTATAGCAAATACTAATGGGATTAAAAACAGCAGCTCAGAGAGGAGCCGGAGCAATACAGGTCTGTGCACGGCTGTGCTGTGTTTTGTTCTTTCGAGTGCTCTGACAGCTCCTGCAGTATGTGACACACAGAGGGAGAAAAATACTGTACCTTTTGGGAAGCAGTGGAAGCCAACCTTTACTGAAGCTTTTTCGATTGGAGTACAGTCTTTCATACATTTCAGTACTGGGTCAACAGAGTAGCACGTAGATTCCTCACCATCAATAGTAGGATTTCGATTCAGCCTCACATAACTGCGCTGCAGCTTGCACCCTAAGAAGAAAAGGAAAGGTAGTTAAAATTGTAGAAATAAATCCCAATCGATCCTTGCAATAATAAAGGTCCATATTTTCTCTTCAGCTTTTATTAAAACACAGGTATCTGACAAACCATTTTCACAGCAGCCAGGTTATCAAGATAGGACAATAATAAGTTGAGGAAAGAGCCTGAAAGGGGAGCTATTTTTAAAATCTAATTGCACAATAGAACCCAAATGGAATCATGTATACTTAGTTTTTTAGAACTACATAATACACAGAAAATAACCTCTCATGTCTGAAAGCTATTAAGAATAGATACTGCAAGCACAATGGCTACTTCATTGCATTAGGAAAAATGTCAACCGTAGTGAATGGATAAAAAAAGGGCAGTATTTATTTAATAACAACAAGGATAATTTTTGTATTGGATGATTTTTATAATGCTGCAATTATCTCACTAGAAAGGTATAATGTAACTTAACAGGATCCCAGCTACGACTGTTTCCTGACAAACAAATATAATTCTGCTGCCAATGAAGTCAAGGAGAAAGCAACCATTAACTTCAGTAAAATTATTTCAGGTCCAAGGTAAATGGAGACCTACCAAACAAAACTGTATTGATATTATGGGAGTCTAACATTGTTTTTCCAGCTATGTGTGAGACGAAGCTCTTTACTGTAGGAATAGTTCTAAATATTTTCCTGAGATTGCACCCTCACATGGTGCAGAACAAAAATGAATTTTTTTTGCACTTTGGAAATTTACATGAATGTAGGATCTGACACTGTTTACATAGTCTGCACCTTGTGTGGTGAAATTAAGTCTGCAGACAACAGCTGAAACTGTTTTGATACAATGGTGAAAATCACACTTTTTTTTTCAGTGGGAGCAAGATTAGGGCTGATTTTGCCTCTCAAGAAAAAAGCTACTCAGTGTAAGAAATCAAAATCAATTATTTGACATTGAATTGCACATGAGACAAAGACTTTTGCTGGAGTATATATTCTCTATATTCACAAGCATTGTTTTAAACAGTCAGTGGTTAATAAAGTTAAAATGGATACACATGGTTATTGAAATTTCTAAGTAAAGGTATCTACTGCTTAAAAAAAAATATTTTCTAGCTCTTGGGAGAGGAAAAGTGAAATCATAATTTATCCAAGCATAGAATTTTTCCAGATCCACTCACCACCAGAGCAGGTTTCTTCCAGCAATACCCATGAATGAACAAACGCAGAACAGCTGTGTGCCAGCCTATGGTTTGGCATGAGGAGCTCATTTTCCTTTTCTCTGTCATTATTACCACAAACTCCACAGGTCTTTCCTCTCATCCATGAAGCAACCGTAACCTGCAAAATAGCACATCTTTGTAGTGAATGCTGAAGTGTTAGTCTGTCACACTGGTAAGGCACCAGGCAGAAAAGAAAGGAGTAACCTTGAAAACAAGTGCAGTACCTTAAGATTTACACCATCATAAGTCACCTCCTTCAGTCCGAGTGCTGGAACTTCCACAGTAACTGTTTTCCCATTTTTATAAATTTTAACATTGCCTGTTAAAAGGTGGTGAATCATACAGTGATCATCTTAAATTAATGGAGAAACTATATAACACAAAACCCACCACAATGTGTTTTCCTTCACAATGATAATTTTGCTGCTACAGTTAAATATGTATATTTAAGTAGAGAGGAAAAACAAAAATAGAAGAAATAATATATTTTCAAAAATATTCTACTGCTGTTATCTATATTGTAACTGACTTCTGTATCCAGTGTGCTAAATTTAGAAATGATAATGACAGTGGTGGTGCTCTAGCTAAAATGTCTGAACTAAAGCATCTCTCTGTGACTATAACATAATTTTTTTTTTCCAAACAAGCACCAAGCTGGGTATATGGTAAGAAAGGTTTTTATTCACCTGTCAGTTATGCTGGAGGAAAGTAAGAGTGTATGTACTGTAGGAAACATGAACATAAGTCACTACAAAACTTTAAAAAGTAGTCTTTTAGTTTTCTCTTTCAATTAATTCCACTTGTGTTTTCTTTACACTGAGATTTTTCTGCGAACTTTATAAAATCTTGATATTTAGTTCCCAGGTCAGTCCTGGAAAACTGGGTATCACAGCTTACCTTTTTCATACTCAGAACCTCCACTGTGTGATATAACTTGTTCTTCATTGCATGCTACAAGGAGAGACGAATTTGAGGCAGGACAGATTGTGATGTTCCTTCAGAAAAAGCAAAAATAAAAGAGAATGAATTAGTGTTTAATTTAAAATGTGAAAAGTATAGATATTTGTGACTAGCTGAATTTGAATGGATGAACAAGCAGTTTTCTTTCCAAAGCGCAGAATTCATTGGGACTGTGGGCTTTAATATTCAACCTTTAAAGAAAAGATGGCATGGGGACTTAGTGAACAAGTGGCTGTGGAACTCAAAAGAAGAGCAACTACACCATAGAGCCTCACACGAGGATTCCTTCTAGAAATTCTGTCTTTCTCCATATGTTTCCTTGAAAGCCAGTTTCAGCTAGAAACTGGATATCTCCCACTCCCAGAATGATTCCCTGAGAAACTTTGTACCTAATTTCTAAGCCTCAGTATAAACCACACTTACGCTGTTGTTGTATTTATGTGAACCTCTCTTGAGAAAGATTGAGGATCAGCCTTTCTTGTAGTAATGATGAATTTCGGGTGTTCAGTACAGTCTTGAACCACCACCAGGTTGCAGCTTTTATTGAAAGAATATGAATAGCTCGCGCGATCAAATGTTTTGAAATCTCTCTCCCTGATTTCACATGTGGCTGCAAAACAAAACCATAAAGAAATGGCAGATGTGACCACTGTATGTGTTGCTGTGAAGTACTGAAAGACATCTCTATGAGATTGAACTACCCAGCCAACAGGAAGAAAACTTCACCTCCTTGGCAGAAGCCAGAGTCTGTAAGGACATGAGAACACTACAAAATAACTACCCGCTGTAGATTTTACTGGTATTGATTTTGGTTGCATGCCAAACCCAAAACTCAAGCTAACAGGGACTAAAGCATACAAAATTCTTGAGAAACTGGGTGCCGTAACAAATTGTGATAAAAAGTCCCCATTTCCCACAGGAGTGCTAGAATACACCAACCAGGAGAGATTCACATGGCTCCTTTCTGAATAAAATAAACTGGACAGAAAATATATGGACTCTCGTGCCCATCACCTGATGCCTCTCAATGCAGAGCTGGCACCTTCTCAGGAGGGGCAAAAGACAACCTCCAGTCCTTGAAGACTGAGTGATTCCCAAACTCTGAATGTTTACAGCAGTTTGAAGCCTCTTCATTCACCTGCTAAAAACCTGCTTCTCTGAGAGGGAAAGAACTGCTGGAAGCAGGGCTACAGGTGCATGCTATGCTTCCCTATAAGACCATTAGAAGGAAAGGCAAGGCCCAGCCATGGCAGAGTATGGATCTACACCCATCGCTTATTCATGAGACAAACATATAAGTAACATTTACATTGATCTTCTTGTGCTATTTGTGAAGCTATTTCAGGAAATAAATTCCAGGCAGTGATATCTCGAGTCTCGTAAGCTGGAGATGGGCCTGAGGGCAGAGTGAATGGCAATCGGAATCCCTGACAATAAAGTGTTACCTGAAAAAGCAGAAATGAAAATACATTAAGATAAATTGAACCATATGCTCAAGATATGACTGCAAAAAAAACGCTCTCTTATCTTGGAAAAAAACCCAACCCTTGAAGATGCATTTCTACAACTGCAGTTGTGTTAATCTTGGCAGAATGTACCCTAACCTTCAGCTTTGTGAGAAATCATTATCATCTCTTCTAGTCATACTTGACTTTTTGAGAAATTGTTAAGAACATTGAAAAGTAACTGATAGAGATGAGTTTAAGTGATATTTGAATGACTTCGTAAAAAATAAGATAACAAGTTGAGTAACTGAGATGATGGATGTGTTTGGAAAAATGAATCTCATTTATTAAGGGCTGAAAATCGGCATGCTCAGCATTGGGGTAAGATCCTTCACTGTAGCTAAAAATTATATTTGCCAAGAGAATCAAATGAATGCCTAATGCACCTACTTCTTCATGATCACATTAAGATCCTGCAGAACTGAAGTACTGTGGTGCATTAAAGACACACAAGTTTCTGTGTATGAATAGCTAGCTGTTATTAATTTGCCAGAAATCCATAGGGGAATTTTCTCAAAGAGGTGCATAAGAATTTAGTGGACAAGGACCAATTAATTAGTGGGACTCTGCAGACCCTGCCTGTGCAGGGTCCTGTGAGAGGGTGACTAACAGAGTTGCATTTGTGTCTTGCCCAGACCATCAAGCATGGTTGCTGCAGATGTGGGACTGGAGTGCCAACACACACAGATGCTGTTTGTGGCTGCAGCAGAGTGCAAAGTGTTCTCAAGGCCCCCTCTATCTGCTCTGAGACCCTCGTTCAAAAACTAGCCACACTGGGTAAAAATGCATAAAGGTGTGAGTGCAGAGCAGTCATACTTGAGACAATTTGGCCTCACTGCTGTTCTCAGAATGCAAATAAAGTATTGGACTACAGAGTCTGATTTTCAGCTTACTACTGCACTGGGCCAAAGAAGCAAAAAATCAAGGGAACTGTTGTATGTATTTGAACACCTACCTAATATAGTCAGGTATACAGCAGCTTCTCTAAAAGGGAATGTCTTGCTTTTTGTTTCTTTACGTTACGTGTACAAACATTCTAAGTTGAAAATCATTAAATGTAAGAAAACGAAAATAAAAATTTAACGTACCTCAGGAGCTTTAATTACTGTATCAATTGTTCGTGGAGATGTTGCAGCTGCTCTTACTATTAATTCATGAGATGGATTTCTCTGATGTACTTCTGAGAAGCCCAACACGAGTGCTGCACCAGGAATGTATTGCATGAATCTAGAGATAAACAAGATGTGACAAACTCAGGTGCAGGAACAAAAGCACACATAGGATGGTGAGGACTACGGGCAGCTCCAAAAACTCAGGAAAAAATGGAAGATCTGAAAAGTAGAGGAAATATTACTTTGGGTCAAATTAAATGGTTGATTTTATTGAGAAGAGAAAGGTTTTATTTTTGCCTATTTCAAATGGTTATTTTTTGCGACTGAATAGAAAAACATTTTAAAACGAAAAGACATTTTGAACAGAAATAGAAAAGAATTTAATATAGAAAATGAAATCAAGCATACATTTTAAATATTTGGAGGCTATCATTTAATATGAAACATGTGGAAAAAGTAGAACACATTCATAAAATACTTGTGTACCACTGAACTTGTGGTTACCATCCAAGCACTGCCCAGAGAAGGATGTTTGGGTTGAAAAATTTCATCTAATTCTTTCAGTGTTTTTTCAAAAGCCAAGTAGGGTAAAAAGTCAAATAAAAATTTAGGAAATAATGAATTACATACTCTGTGCTTGTCTTTTTTATCCAGGATGGAAGCTTTCCCCACTGCACCTTCAGCTGTGCAGCTGGCTTCTTTGCCAGTTGTCCTGTAGTAGCCACTGCTTCTATCCTGTAATCCTGGCACTCCTTGCCCCATCGCAGTCTGGCCTTTGTAAACAGGGAAACAGTCACCCAAAGTTCAGAAAAGAATCCCAGAATGAACCTTTTCAAAATGCAATATTGTCTTTCACCAATTTGTGCATTGATCCTTCATATTTCCGGTCTTTTACTCTAAACAGGCTCGCAGAGAAATTTGGACTTGTTCATGCAAAATCTGAAGCATAGTAGGAAAAAGGTTTCCTGGTCTGTGCAGAAGTACATACACATGTTCCTGTCTCAAAGCAACCACTGAAACATGTTGAGATTTCCATAGACATGGTAACTTCTTAATCAATAAGTATTTTCTCCTAGAAGAGGACTGCACTATAACTTCTCTTTGCCTTCCCCAAGACCTCCTGATTTGAACCCATCCCGCTTTCTTCAATACTGAATATCATGCTCAATTTGTTAATTTCAGCTACAAAAAGCAGAGGTTTTTAAATTGTTGCACAAACAATTGTTGCACAAATTGTTTGTTGCACAAACAATTGCTCCAAAAAGCTCATGGGAAGCTCAGCACAGGGATATGCAAAAAAAAAGTAAGGACATAAATGAATGTTCCTTCATTTATGATGCTCTCTTTAGCATCAATCCATTACCTCACTTTGCTTTTCCCATCTTTTCATATAAATCCTAAGAAATGTGATGTAAATATATTTGAGTTATGAGTCTTTTGAAATCACAGAACACTCTGACTTGGAAGGGACTGAGAAGCATCATCCAACTCCACCCAGAAAGAGTTCAGCTCCTGAATGAGTGACCCATACAGGGATCAAATCCAGTGTCCTTAGTGTTATCAACACCATGCTCTAATCATCTGAACTGAACTTGAGGTCAATAAATTACATACAGAAAACCAGGCAGATTCCCAGACAAGAAAACTTATAGTAGAACAGATAATAAATAGTGATGAAGTAAACTTTTCAATTTTTTTATGCTTCTACTGGTTATATTTTGATTTATCTTGAAAGTCAATATTTTTTGCCAGAGTTTGAAGTATATGAATATTTTTTAATTTTACTATTGTCTATTTTAATGGTGAAATATTTTCTGAAACTTCCCGAACTTTATGAAAAATTTCAAAATAAGTGTGCCTTTGCTGTTTAATACTCTTAATCAGCAGATTCTCTGTGCCTCCTCTGGGCACTGTAGATGTCCCTCTGTGCAAAGCTGCCTGGGCACTTACCTGTGCTTTCAGAGGCAGTATCACAGCATCAGCACACGCTTTCCAATTGGTTTCAGCCAGCTGAACCACAACTAGTTGCACATCAACTTTGGCAGCATCAGAACGAACATATGCTGTAGCTTGGTAACCTTGATTTCTGTTGTCACTCCTTACTGCCTGGGCCACAATCGTAATGCCAGGTGGAATTACATCTCCCAGGAAGTTGCGCTGAAAAAGAGCCCCCGACCATCTGTGTTTAAGGATTTCTGAACATTCACTGGAGAGCCTGCAGTCCAGCTAATGTGCACTGATAGCAGGCAGCAGCCCTCGTCCTCCATCAGTTTAGTTTACAGTACATATTTCTATACCCACAATAGTTAAGGATGAATTTGGTTGGAAACTTAATTATTCAAAGACGTGATTGTTTTGATGAGGGATCCAAGATGCTCCCAGGCTATCTTTATGTATATAGCAAGATTTTGTTCATATGGTGATGTTTCAAATAGTTGCCTACAATGTGTACTAGAGACATTCAGAGTAGTATACACAACTTATCTTACTACACTACAGTTTCTTCAAGCCAATCAAATATTTTGAAATCCTGCTTAGTAGCAGAATTCCCCATGACATTGCCTGCATTTGCAGAGCTATTTGTTCCATTATTATGTAGATACCTTTATGCAGTGCAATTATAGAATACTATGTGCATAATAAAGGTAAAGGCAATCTGTGCTTAATGGGCCTTCACATTTACCAATCAGTAATGTCCATGGAAAATCTGATTTTAGTTATACTCTGCATGCACTCACGACCTCCAGTTTACATTTAAAAATAATTAGGCGGACTTATTTATTTCATCCCCATTTTTACCTAAAGCAACTTATTTTGTATTCTGGGCTTTCACAGGAAAAAGAAAATTATTTCCTCTTTAACTCACAGCTACATTCCCTTCAACATGTACGATTTCCAAATCCAGGCTTTCACATACTGCAAATACCTTTAGAAATGAAGGAAAGGAAACAGACAAACCTTAACACAAAGGGATTTGGAAAAAAAAAAGTTGAGTTTTTTGTGGGGGGAAATATCTTAATTAATGTTGACTTTCAATTTACAGACTTTACTTTTAGTGTCCCTCCTGAGCCTAACAACTGGTTAGTGCCACCACATTTTAGTTCCTGCTCAGCAGCCAGCTAAGCCTGGCTACTCTGGGTATCACACAGCATTGTACCTCACGTGTCAGGCTGGAGCTATGGCTGTGGTGGTGAATGCTGACTCTTTTGCTCCCCCTGGAGTTGTGGGCAGAATTTTCTCCATGGTGGTGGTGGCTGCTTCTGCTGCTACTGCTGCTGCTGCTACTGCTGCTACTGCTGCTGTTTCTGTGGCTGCTTCCCAGCTCAGAGGAAGATGATGATGAGCTGCTTGATCTTTTATGATCTGGATGCTATGAAATAAAAATAGGTTAAAAATCTATGAGATAGCCTCTAGTATTACATTATAAATATCAAAATCAAAGCTATCAGCCTCCCTTTATAGGTGATGGACTTGGACATATTTAGAGTGTTATTTTTATTTCCCTATATAGACATGAATTATGTTTAGTTGGAATGTGCCTTGGATCCACCTCGAGATCTCTGCTGAAAGAAACACTGCATAGACACTGATTGAAAATAGCAATGTCACATTTTTTGGGTCTAATGCTAGGGAAATGAAAAGTGGCATTTCATAAGTGGTCAAATACATCCATATCGAGGAAAAAAAAGATAGTTTTTTTATGAATAACACTATAAATCATCTTCTTCTTTCACACATAGAATATATAATAGCTGTACAGGTAATACCTACAAAAGCCACTCCATTATCACCCTTCTAATACAAGCTAAAAATACCTTTGTGCCATAATGTGTACTGAACCTGGTTTCTGAAAAAATCTGTGTAATGATTTTGCCATGGTTGCCTCAGAACTGTGGACATCACTATTTCCATTGGAAGGTCCCACTGTTTATCCTTCCCCCATGATCTTTGTTAACCTAGCTGTGGCTGCATTTGTGTGTCCTGACCCAAATTTGAGAATTGCAAGTGCTGCAACATCAAAAGGATGTAGTGTAATAGCATATTAGTAATAAATCTGCTTTTTTTTTGTTCATCATCAATATTGTTATTGGGTGTAATGGAATGGTCAAGGGAAATGGCCCAAATAAAGCCCCCCAGTAACAGGTTTGATCACATTAGCTGCAGCTACCATGGCAATGTGCACTTAAATTAGGCACCTACCCAATGGATGTGAGCAGACCTGAAGCGGAGACTGTATACTTTTGGAAGGTGATATTCCTGCAAAATTCCAAAAGAAGTTATTACCTACAGCTCAATCAAGATCACCTCCTAGCAGAGGTCAAAGTATTAGACATTTTACCCATTCTGTGGAAATGTGACTACTGCCCCTGTGTGCTTGGGACTTGAAGTGGTTCGTCTCAGCTCCTTGGTCAGGTTTGCTGCGCCAACGGGAAGAGCCAGTGCTTTTGCTGCTGCTGCTGCTACTCTGTGTTTTAGACTTCTGCTCACGGACACTTCTCTCTCCTTCAGCAGCACTGGCAAGTGGAAATGATGTGGTCTTGGCCTGCTTCTTAGCCTTATGCTTTATACCAGATGCTTTGCTGCTATTGCTGCTGCTATCTGCGCTGCCTCTGGTACTGCCTTTGCTGCTGCTAGCACTGCTTCTGCTGCTCTGGCTGCTGCTACCACTGCTTCTGCTGCTCCTGTCCTTGCTGCTGCTCCTGTCCTTGCTGCTGCTGCTCTTACTACTACTGCTTTTGCTACTGCTACTACTGCTCTTGCTACTACTGCTACTGCTCTTACTACTGCTACTACTGCTACTGCTGCTCTTGCTGCTGCTACTGCTATCACTACTACTGCCACTGCTGCTACTACTACTGCTTTTGCTGCTGCTACTGCTGCTGCTACCACTGCTGCTGCTACTGCCACTGCCCCCAAATGGGTAGAACTTCTTTCCTTTGGCTTTGGACTGCCCTGTTTTCAGATTTATCTGGGCGCCTCCCTGTGATGCTCTGTCATCAGAGTCGCTGCTGGAGGGGCTGCTCGTTGTACTCTCGGCACTTCCACTGGAGCTGCTGGCACTGGATGATGAGCTCCTGTATTTTCTTGTCCCCTAGTCAAGGGTAACATTGGAAAAAAATTATTTTTCTGTGTTCCTGCAGAATGGCATAAGTAAAATCAGATGCAGGTATCTCTGAATCTCTGCTGCCTTAGAAGACAAGGTGTATGCTTGATAACATCTTTGCAACACATCACAATAATTCAAAGGCAATTTCATAATAATGTGTTAAACCCACACATAAGCAGAACAACCCCACAAACACTTTAGTGATAAGGAGCATGTGCAGCAGTTGTTGACCACAGAAAAACACGTAACTGGTATCAGTAATGACAGTGCTGTAGCTGTCACTGTCTCAGGGCAGGTTGTGTGGTTGGTGTCAGAGCATTTTGCTGCAGTTGCAGTAGCTGTAAATAACAGACTACTTTTTGGCCACACAACAGCTATTTTATCTCTTACAAGAGATTTTCAGAAAAGCATGCAAAACCAACCTGCTCCTTCTAATGTCTTTCACTTGCAGAAAGGATGAGTGCAAACAAAAGACCTGCCGAAAGACTTGTGTATCCAAAAGTCTGTCTTTATTTTCCACTTTGGCATAATATCTAAACAAAGGAAGCTACTTAGTAGAAGGAATAAAAATAAGCTTTGTGTAATGTCTCCCACAAATCCAGAAGTGGAATTTTGCAGCAGTACCTGATCATCAGTGTCAGCAAGGATTTTCTTCACTTTTTTAATTGCTTCTTTTCTGGAAGATGCTTGTGCGTCTGGATCTTCAAATGTTACTAGACGTACCATTTTTGTAGGAGCTTGGTCTCCTGCTTGAACTGTGACTTGTATTTTTTCAATAGGTGCCTCAGTGGAAACTGAAGTTGTATGACAATTAGTATTACTGTTACTATTAGCAACTGAATGAGAGAATAAGCCAATTTTACCATAATTAATTTAACCATTTTTTCTCAAATATAAGTGTTCAGTGATTATTGTTGGTATTGAGCAACTTTGTTAAAAATTTTCTCTAATAGATAAAATTTAAATTTCGGCAACAAAAATTTAAAATATCATCATGATACTGGATTCTTTTCAAGTCAATAAACAGAATGAACAGCAGATTTAAATCAAGTGAATTGGATTGTTTAAAGAGATAAACTGCGGGTTAGAGAATTAAACATCAGACAGGAATTGAGGCTCAACCCTTGAATGCTAAAGAATGGCCCAATGGTTAGGCCATTAGTTTGATACTTAGGAGACCTAGATTCAGTGGCCTGCTGTGCTTTTATTTCTTATGATCATGGATTAAGACATTAAGGACTAGATCCTGGCAGGGTTAATCCATAATTCCCTTTTAGAGTCTGGGTTTTAGAATGTAGCTACAGGACACTACATCAGATCTGTTGCCCATGTCCAATTGCTTCGTGCTTGCATCCCAAATCCAATGATTCAGGATGCATCAGACACACTCTGCAGGCACAGATCAGCTCTGCTTGACGCTGGCCACGCTGAGTGACATTGCTGGGAGAGCTGGGAAATTGCTGCTCAGGCGACTGGGGAAGAAATGGATTCCTGCTGTGAGCATAGTCTGTTGCCAACACTGGCTGGTCTGGTACTTCTAATTGTAGATTTAGTGGTACTTAAGATGCAAAAAATATATATGTACATATATACATCTGTATCTATCTATATGTATGCATGTGTGCATATAAACAACTCCACCCACTGTTTTCTCTTTTGTGCCCACTTGTATTTACCTGGCTTGAAGCTCAATCTCAGGGCATGCTCTCCAACCAGGTAATAGAGAGGCAGGTTTTTGATAAATGCTGCATGTACGCTTTTCTTCTCAATGCACACTTGAACTCCAAACGTACTCGCATTGAAGCACACGGACTGAACAAATGGCTCTTTTTGGGAAGAAGAGCGTCCAGAAGAAAAGGGATTTCCAGATGAAACGTCCTCTGCAGACTGTCTACTCTATTAGATAGCACACACGTCAAGTTAACTCACAAAAATGAGAGTAATTACCTGCATGTTATGCATCATACCTTGGTAACAGTACCTGTGCTGTGCAGGGGGAATTAACCAGTTTATTTGAGATATCAAGGCAGTGACACAGAACAACTTGGTTTTAAAGTGGACAAAATTGTCATCTGAATGGGTTGATTAGACTGCCTACTGTAAAAAGAGCTTCAGGTTGTAAGAATGGGAAATTATATCACAAATTAATTCTAAATATTTAGTTTTGTTTTCCTGGAATATTACACAGTGTTAACAAATTCTTGATAAAACTGAGTGTGCTTTAGACTGACTGGAGTTTTTTCCTTTGATTTTTGATATGTCAGACAACAGAACTTTCAACTATGTCCACAGAAATTCTGACTCAGATGAAGTCTAACATGAATGTGACACTATATCAATTAAATGGTCAAAATATATCATGTATTAGAAATTTCCACTAAAAACTATGTAATTTACATGTGATAAGCAATGAAAAGAACAAATTAAAATTATTAAAATTGGAATCAAATCCATGAAATGAAAACTATGATTTCCTGAAGCAATGAAGCAAAACCTAAAGACACAATAATCACAAGATTTCATTTCACATATAATTCATGTTTACAATTAGTATTTTTATGCAGTTTATCATGTCTCACAAGATTCCATGAACACTACCAAAAAACCTGGAATTTCTAGTGATACTGAGAAATGCTCCACTCAGTGCCATTTTTCAGTTGCTGCTCATTTAAGAATAACTGTGGAGTGCCAAGTTTTCAGGAAGGGCAGCACAGGGGCACAAAGCAGAAGAGAGCTTGTTCCAGGATATTGGAAACTACTCTCACTGATAGCACGTTTGTCTATTGACTTCTCCATAGGAAAGTGCTGTTCTTGTCCTCTGTTCATCTCTTATTTTATCTGAAAACCCTTCAGAGCTGCAGGACAACAATGGAACCAGAACAGGACAGCGTATTCCTGCCTCTGTCAGTCTGAATGAATTGCCACATCGATGCCTTTACAATGCTGCCCATCTTGAAAGAAAGCCTATCCTGGCTTCTACGGAAACCTGGCTCACAAAGTCATGACACAAACTGCACTCCATCCTTGAATCAGGATGCTTAGAAGCATTAAATTTGGCTCTACAAGTCGAGCAGTGGAGCATCTTGTGGAACTTTTGTGACTGTCCCAGGAATGCGGTGCTTCCATAATGGTTGCAAAATATTTTAAAGATCATGGGCCTGTAGATGGCAGTGCAAAATTAATTACCAAAGAAAATGCTTTTGCTTTAGACAAAGTGTTGCAAGTTTGATGTATTACACTCCAGATTTTAAAATAATGTTACTATAGGGCTGTTTGTGTTATTGGATTGAACCTGACTTATTTGAGTGAAGCAGCATTGGTCAGAGATGAATTGTACCCATTCCTATAGAGAAAAGAAATGGTTCCCTACTGTTTAAAAGCCCAAAAGAGAATAGTCAGACACTACATCATTTACCCTGATGTTATCAGTCTCGCCTGATGCAGAATCTGAATTGAAGGACGTCTTCATTATGTCAGGCACTGCTTCAGGTAAAAGAACTGGAGTCATCTTACTAGCAGCCAGATCCCCAATATTTCGTGTAACAGCAAATGTCTTAGACCTGCAGAATAAACATTAGAGGAAACCCGTATTGATAAAGCACTGCTGAGGAGCAGACCTGAATAATGCCTTGTAGCCTGCACTCAGCAACAAGGATCATACCTTGCAAATTGCTTTACAGATATTTACAGCATCCTTCCTGTTAGTTGTGTTTTCAAGGGCTGCTAAGAGTCAATAAAGACACAGACCAATCTCAGGGGCAGATAGCCCAGTTAGAATTTTAGAATCATGTGTACAGGTTAAAAACCTGACTGTTGGTTGGATCTTCATGCCTTAATACCATGAAAAACAGCATGCTTAGAAGCCTGGCTGTGGATTACATACTTAAATTTTTGAGTCTCCTATTTTGAGCTCCTCGACTTTTAAATTTTATAATTAATCTTCTGTGTGTTCACTGCAGTAGCCTTAGTTCTAACTTATTTTGACATTCTATTTGGAAAAAAATACTGCTATAACTTCAAAAAACAGCCTGGGGACTGGTGGCTACTGAATCTGTTTGCTGTGCAATTTTTATTAGAGAAGAATTGAAGAAAGGAGTGTGAAATCATGAAACGAAGTGTCTCCAGCTTGATTTAAATTCACTAATACTCATGGCTTGGCCATGACTTGGCAAGAGGTCAAGAGAGCTGAGCAGGAAGGTTAAGAGCCTATTTATGTAAACCTGTTCAGTACATTGTTTCCAGTGTTGTGAATTCTAAGTGTATTAGTCAGGATCCCAGATAAGTGATAGAAGGTGCAGCATCAGACTGAGGCTCTCATGGCAAAATATCTTGAACCCCTGGCTTCATACCCCACATTCTTTGTGAAACTTATCACAGTGCTGTGAACTATGAGTTTTGTTTTGGGTCAGAGAAACATCTCGAAAGCTGAAATGCTTTTGAGAGACAAAAAACCATTTCCCTCAGCTATTAACACCGTGCTAGCTCTACCTTATTAGTCGTTTATCAGTTAACATCCATCTCAAAATTCCCCATGTGCTCTTTCTCAAGGATGAAGCTGATCTCTTTGCCCTGGGGCTTTTGTGGTCTGCCAATGGAGGTGGCCGCTGTGACACTGAATGGAAAGATGGTCTCAAAATGGTCTCTATTTTAATACGGTCCACACTGTACTAGCCTGAGCAATTCCAATCTAACCTATTTGAAAGATGAATTTGTATTCATTTGATAGCCCTCTCTTCCTCTTGAAGGCTCCTACCGTGCTGTGTGCAATGTAAAGCACACAATTGCTCTTCATGTGGAACACCTCAATAAAACGTGTGTCACCTGTGGGCTTTGTTTTCTTTTCCATCTCTCTCTTTTTTTAGATAAGGACATGACAGCAACGCTCCACGCTGGGTGATAGGAGAACCTTGAAGAATGGAATCTGAAATAAAATATTCTCCCTAACAAGCTGAGGGGATAAAAGAAAATACAAATCAACTTGCATTTCAGATAGCTCATCTGGGTAAAGAGACAAAAAGGGAAATGGTTTTATTTTAATCCCATTCAATAATTCAAATGACCACTGAACTGCAGGCTGGATCTCCAAGCAGAAAGCCCTGGGGTTTCTTTTCCAATTTTTTTAGTATTTTTATGCCAATAGTCTACTCCTGCCACCTAATGAAAGAGAAGGATCGATTCCTCCCTGTTGAGCACAGAGAGCCGACAAATGTAGCTGCATCACAGGTGACACATGTCAATGTCTGCAGAATCACACAGCACAGTAAAAATAGGCTACAAGAGCCAGCTCTGGTGCTTTAACAAGAAAAAACAGTCACAAAGAAGGCCTAAAGCTATGGTATGAAAGAATCTGTTCTCTCTGATCCCACACAAGGGAGAAAAAATAAAAAGGAGATTTTCCAATATGTATTAGTGCATTTTTTTAGGATGAGAGAAGAAGCTGTGCTATAATATAAGCCAAACTCACTGCATGGGTAAGGGACAAGCAACTCAGCTATGCTGGACACTGATGTTTCAGAGAGTGTGGCCTTACATGCATCCCTAACATGGGGACAGAAGAACACAAATGTCCGTTCAAAACAAAAAACAATCAACAAGGAATTATTTTCCCAGGTTTTGAAGCACAGTCTGACATCACATGTAAATAAATGAGAAAAAAGATGCAATTAACCAGCCAGATCTTTAGGTCTCTTTCTGATGTGGTGAAACAAAGTCATCTGCCTTTCCTATGCATTTTCCTTCCAACTTTGGTGCAAAGGTACTATAAAAACAGAGGCTTGGAGCCCCACCTGTTTCCCTTTTCTTCCCCCCCAAACACACCTCGCTGCCTCAACAAGATCACAGCATATGCTGCCTCTTCTGCATTTTCTGCTACACATGGTGCAGTCATGTTGGACAAAGAGACTTCTAATTACCTGGCTCATCTTACAAATAAGATGCCTATGTGAAGCAATTTCTGCTTATCCTACAGCTAAAATAAGCAAAAGACCTTATGATACAAGCTCTATTCATGATTATGTATATACTTCAGTAGGCTGTCATTATGAATATGTGGTATATTAGCAAAGTGCATTCTCTGGCAGCTCTCCATATTTATACTTTAATCACAGAGCTCTAATTTCCCCTGAAATTTATTTGATTTTTACTTCTTGTAAATTTTGTTTAAAAGTATGTTGAAGTAGCCATCTGTAGTATACTAAATAATTATGTTAAAAGAGCCTTAAAAATAACCATTATTTTAATTAAATTTTGATAGGATTGAATTGAAACACATGCTATATATTCTCTCCATAGTACGATTAATTACTGTGCTCTGATTTCTGCTATAGAGAGAGCTGAGCCCATAATGTGCTGATTTGTCTTGGGAATGCAACCTCTCTATCACCAAAGTTTGGTTTTTTTTTTTCCTTCTTCTTCTTTTGAGCCTGTGATTACTAACCTGAATTTCTCTTTGGCTCTTGAAAATTTATATAAATCCCACTGCTGTGACAGGTTATAACCTTTATGGTGTGTAGGATATAAATGAACTTAATGCTATTGAAAACTGTTTGCTTCCTGTGCCTGAATGTGAGAGATGATGGGGAAAATAATACCACATCCTGTCTAGCTTTAATGCCATGGGACTGTAGAAGGTAACCTGCTGGACATCAAGACAGTGCCCAATATGAAAATAATTTGAACAGAGCTTACAAACACATGAAAGATCAACAGCTTTCTAGAACTATTTCTTTAAATGGGGAATTTAAATCTAACAAGGGAAGGTGTCACAATATCTATAAACATTGACATCAATTGGATCTTTATTATTTGGTAGATCTATGTAAAAGGAAGAAAAAGACTATGTTGAATTAATTTTTGAAACTCAGTCTATATAGCTATATACAGATATATCTATATATTTATATATCTATATATTTATCTCCTTTCTCTCTACCGTGCCCGCTTGTTTCTCTTCATGCCTCTAAGATTTTACTTTGCTTGGTCTTTGACCTCCTCAGTGATGCAGTTCAGTGTTACATTCTCTAGTTATTGCTTTGCCTTCACTTGCACTCATTGCTGTTTCATTGCTCTGTGTGGTTTCCACTGGCCATTTGTTTTGTAACAGTGAATGGAAATGCTTTTTGGAGAGAAATTGATGGTGCTAGAAGTCATCTAGTGAGTATTAGCTTTCTCATATACTTGGCATTATGGAGCTATTTCCAAGTGACTACTTCACTTTATAAATGGTAATGCTGCAGGGTCTAGAGCAGGGCTTGTGCTGGAACTCATGGGCTTCTCTGCTGTAATACCTTGTTTCTGATACTGACTTGCTTTCTGCTTTATGGCAATGCATTTAACCATTTTTGTGTCTCATTTGATCTCCCCTTAAGTGTAAGGATGAGAATATTTTTTATCTATTTGCAGGGAAGATCCTTCTGCTAATATTTCTCTCTGCTTGAGGCTCTAAACTCCCTATCAGTATTCAATATTCTCATTTCAGTTCAGTGTGCTTATTGAGTTCATTAATACCTGCCTCACTCTCTCTAACAGTGGGAATTAGTGAGAGCTGTTGCCTGCTGTCCCTGATGACCTTAGAAGCAGACTGTCCTGGCCTCCATAAGAAACAGAACCATAAAAACCACACAGCTAACTTTTCATCTCTGAAATGCTGAGACCCTTCCTACCTCTGCATGGAGAGAACCTTATTATAACCACACTTGATGGAATGCAGGAATTGTCTTAGGGAGCAGGATGAGATATCAAATGAACGTCAAATGGTCTGTGACTATTGAAGGACAAGGGAAAATAATGATTAGTCTAACTGGTGGCTAAATTGAGGAGACCTGCAGAGCATCTCTGGGCCAGCAGCCATGAATGCTAATTGCAGCTGGATCAAGCAACTGATCTCTTTTGTTACGGCTGTATTCCTAGAGCAGAAACTTGTTAACATTTCAGTGGTTTGTATAATTGTCGATTTCTGTTGTGAGTGAAGATTTTTCCTTTGTGAAGAATTTTCAGCTTCTCTTCCTCAGTTTTTTTTTTTTCATGTGTGTGTGTGAGAAGGTTTTCTAAGTTTGGTCTACTGCTTTGATTCTTTGGACATATTCTTTCTGTTTCCTCCTGCTCTTTGCATTTGTATTTCCATCTGTTTTCATTTGTTTGGCATCTGGCTACAACAGTTTTCCAGAGTGTATTGTAATTGCTTGCACTGATAATAAATCAAGGAGACCTAACAGGTAAGAAAACCAAATGGCAGCCACAGGGGAACAAGGTAAAAACATAAGAAACACCAAACCCTCTATGCTTCAAGGCATCTCATGCAAATATAGATGGGTTAACTGTTCTGACTGATAAGATTAATCTGGCTTGTATTTTACCTAGTGTTTCCAGTTCAAATATTTGTATCAGGATAGAAATTTTATGTAATTTGTGTTTCAGATAGTTTATGGATCTCAACAACTGAGATATAGTCCTAAGGAGGATTTTCAGGTGAAGATCACAGAAAGTAACACATATATTCAAGTAAAGCTTTAGTGCATGTCACTTCATTAAAAAAAAACATTAACTATACCAATCACCACCACTTATCTGAGCTGTAAGTCAGACACAAGATTCCTAAATATAACTGGGTAACTGCTTTGCTACGTAGAAAGATACTAAGTGCTATGTCTTACCTTATGGTAATTACGTTAGTCTCATCTTTACACGGCGGAATTTCAATTTTGATACTTTTTTCCTTCATCTGGATAGTGGCAACAACACTCACAGGTACATGAGCATTCATTTTGGTGCGTGCTTCCAGCCCTGCCTGGACGGTGTGTGTGTTAATTCCCATTACAAAGGTCATCTCCTTGGCCATGCTGAAAAGGTAGAAGGAGGGGATAATTATGTTCATGCAATATTCAGCTGCTGGATATTTGTGGTCTCTGTCACTTGAAAATATATATTTTTTTATTTTATACTAAATACCTACCTTAGACTTGTTTTGGATCTCAACCTAATATTGGCATTTAGTAACTCAGTCAATCTGAAATCAGACTTTGGAGAAGGTGTAATCTGTGCTTGAACTATTAAAAAGAAAGCAAGGAAAGGGTTAAAAACGCCCTCCAGTCCTAGCAAGAATGTTTGTACTGCTAAGGCAATGAGATACGCTACCATTTCCTGCCACTTTTGTGATAGAAGAGTAATAGAAGCTGGTCTCTGTCGGGAAGCCAGTGCAGGTGGGCACAATGCGGCGGATCTCAGAGGACAGGAGAGCTTTGGTCCACTGCCTCCCTACACCACTTTGAAGGCTACTGATTATTCTCCTTAGTGAAGGGATTTTTTCATCAGATCCATACCATGCCTGCAATTACAGAGTTCAACATGTCTAAATAAGCAGAACTTGAATATCATGATCCGTGTCATTAACTACGCCTCAGGGGAAATTCTGCCAGCAATCATTATAAATAATCCTGATCAAAGCTTGACCTTATTTGCCTTGATTAATACTAGAGACAAAAAACCCAACCATGAATTTATAAAAGGGAGAGAATATATGAAACTAACAGTATTTTAGAGCTTTTGATGCTTGGGTAGTGGTGCTTTAAAAATGATACCTGCAGTGCATTTTGGATGGCGTTTTTATCAAGTCCACCAAAAAACAGCTCTTGGCCAAACATCTTCAAGTAGCCTGATGCAAAAGGTTTGTCACTGGAGAATGCCTTCCAGTCAGAGAGCTGTGTGAGAAGATGAAAAAAGCCTGATTCTTCATAACATCTGAGAAAGCAATATCAGAGATTTTCTTTTGCCCCAGAATTTACCCTTTTCAGGATTTTCTTGAAGTCATAGTCAGTCTCCCAGTCCCTGTCAGGAGTGTAACCTTTGGCAAACAGCTCCTGCAGTCCTTCAGCTGTTATTCCTACCTGTGGGAAGAAGTAAAGCACAGATGCCAGTGGAGGATGGTTGTAAGAAGGGATTAGAAGGCAAACTGTGGGTAGACCAAATTACCTCCAAGGGATCAGCCACTCTTCCAAGGAAATGTGTCCGCAGCTGGGACAGTGCTACAGTTGGAATTAAGCTACCTGCATCATTCAATACCAAATATTTAGCTGCCAGACCGCTCATAAGGAACTCTGCAGGGAAATAGGCAGTAAGACACAGCACAGTTAGTTTTTAGGTCAGAGTGTGCAGATTATATCTATTTACTAATTTAATAACCAATGTCATATGGGCAAGGCCAGAAAACTTAGCTATAAAACTGGTTATAACAGTTATAACAAAATATTCTGAATTTTAAACTAATAATGGGCAAAGCTACAAGCTCACTGGTCACTGCGTGGTGGTTATGCCATTTTTCCAGTTGCTTTTGCTATATCATAGAATCATAGTATGGTTTGGGTTGAAAGCAACCTCAAGGATCATCCAGTTCCAACCTTTTTGCCATGGGCATGGGCACCCTCCAGTAGACCAGTTTGCTCAAATCTGCATCCAACCTGGCCTTGAATACTTCCAGAACTGGGGCATCCACAACCTCTCTGGGCAAGCTTGCCAGTGCCTGATCACCCTCATAGTAAAGAATTTCTTCATAATATCTAATATAAACTGATTCCCTTTCAGTTTGAACACATTCCCCCTTATCCTGTCACTCCTTGCCTTTGTGCAAAGCTGCTCTCCAGGTCTCTTGCACACTCCCTTCAGGTGCTGGAAGGACACAATTAGGTCACCCCAGAGCCACCTCTTTTCCAGACTTATTGGGATTTCCAGTCCCAATTCTCTTAGCCTTTACTCATAGGAGAGGTGTTCAACCCATCTGATCATCTTTCTGGTCCTCCTTAAGACTTGCTCCAACAGGTCCATGTCTCTCCAGTGCTGAGGGCCCCAGAGCTGGATGCAGCACTGCAGGTGGGGCTCACAAGAACAGAGGAGAGGTGCAGAATTTTCCCCTTGTCCTGCTGGTCTGGCTTCTTTTGCTGAAGCTCAGGACACGATTGGCTTTCTGAGCTACAAGTCCACATGGCTGGCTCATGTCCAGGCTCTCCTTCTCCAGCCCCCCGAGTCCTTCTTGGCAGGGCTTTTGATCTGTTCACCCCCAGCCTGGATTGATATGGAGGGCTGCCCTGACCCATGTAAAGCATCTGGCACTTGGTCTTGTTAAACCTCCTGAAATTCCTATGGGCCCACCATGTGAACTTCTCCAAGTATGGAAAATATGCCTGTCCATATCATTTACATCCAGTCACACTCTGTAAAATCAGCTTATGAAATGCTTTTATGAAACGTCATTTAGGGCACCTTGACTAAGGAGATGAGAAATGAAAACAGATTTGCCACCCTTTGCTAATAGTTCAGGGAAAGTGATACAGATGTCCTGTAAGGACAGATGGTGAGCTGTAGATTTGTCTCTCAAATGACTCAAAAACTACTTAATAAATCTAGTCCCAAATGCTGTAACCCTTACATGAAACGCACCAGTTGTTAAATTATTGATAAGTTGTGAATGAACTTTGAGCAAACAATTTGTTTATATTTATTTCTCTACTTAGATATATCATCCATAATGTTCTTAGGTAGAGATAACAGTCAGGGATTCTTCTCAGTTCTGGCACAGTTAGATCCTGTCCTTTTTTATGAGTCAAAGCAATCCCTCTGCTTTTCTAGAGGAAAAAAATCCCTCTGGTTTCAAGAGGAACAAGGCTGACAGGATATGTAGGCATCATTGTTGTGCTTCCTTCTAGCCCTCCTCTCCTGTTCCTACACCTTTGGAGAATAGGGCAATATCTATGAACTGTAGTTTTGCCACATTGCCTTCATTGTTTTGCTGTATGAATCTACTGTGCTATCCAAAGTGCTGGGTGCTATCTACCTACAATGTATGAGACTCAGACACAATTCCTGGAATCAAGACACTGGTATTTATGCCACCCCACTTTTGACAGAGGAACATGTGGAGAACATTCAGTAGATAGTAATGATGATCCTATTAAAAACAAACAAGCAAACAAACAACTAAGTGGTGCCACACCAGGACCTTACTAGTGAATTGACAGGAAATTTTGAAATGTGAAGACTAGTTTTTCTCTTTGCTAAGCATGAGCTTAGCAAAGGCAAAGCCAGGTGTTTTGTGAACAGGACACTAAAACTGAGGCACAGTATTCTAAGTGAATTTGTTAAAGCTTTTTTTTTACATTCTTGCTACAAAAACCTTAGTTAAAAAGTCCATAGTACTTCCTGATACTTAATAAGAAGTATTGCTTAGAAATTATTAAATGACTATATATAGAATTCATTGACTTGAAGAGAGAAGGAATATTTTCCATACCTCAGGAATTACATAGTGCTAATGCTCCAAGAATATATTTGCCATTTCACCATGAGAGTTTGATGACACTTGCATATATCTGATTAACGTCTTGCCCCAAGGATGGGGGGAAAGAAAACTTAGGAAGCAAAGAAAGCGGTCTTTGGTATGCATAAACATCAGTACACATGAATCTGTGCATATTGAGAGTCAGATTCTCACAGTCCTCACACTGAGCAGAACCTGAATCACCCCTTTGATTTCAGTAGCGATGTGTAGAGCATGAAATACTATTTGTGGTGGCCATGTGTGACAAATTCCAGAGTAGAGATAGATTCAGCTGACACTATTTCCTGTCATTAAAAATTCAGCATCTAGCACCACAAAGATCTGTGATGCTGGGGGCAGATTTTTGTTTTTATCAAGGAAATAGGTAGTGCATTACGGCCGTCACTATGGTAACTTGTCCAGAATGGACTCACAGAAACACATTTTACCTTTGGCTAGTGGAGACAAATCAAATTAGAAACATGGAGGATGGATCCTCTTCCCATACTAGTGTAGCAGGAGATTGACTTAATTTAGCTGAGTTATGCAAGTCTAAGATTAGCATGTGGGAGAAAAAGATCTTTTTTTTTATTTTTCAGGATGAGGACCTACCAATCCATGGTAGCCAAATTACTGACAATGGCCTTTACCAGGAAGTAACAGCAATTCTCTGATGTACTCCATTTCCAGGCTACAGCCAAAATAAAGTATTCCATTTCACATAGAAGAGTGCAATATGTATGAGGGATGCTTGCAGGAGTCTTTCTCACTGTGTGAAAATTTAGATGGCTTAATTTTAAAAGCAAAAATTAGAAGACAAAATGAGTGCCCAAACCAAGAAACACATATTTTCATATTAACAGAAAATGTATCTGTCCCTGAATGTATTTTAATAGTACAAAAGTTCACATGGTGTATATTAGTGACTGCGTTTCTTTGGGCACTTGCTCTCTCCATCACTGAGGGAGCAAGCACATGTATAGTATATTACTGTGATTCTTACAGTATGTTTTATATTTATTTCTATTGTAGCACACATTAAATGGTCACGTAAACCCCACAAAACTGGGGCAAGACAGCAATAAGATTTACAAAAGTCTTTTAAACCACACCCCTGTCTCCAAAGAGGAGGCAGCAGCACTTGTATGCTCAGCACTGTGGATTTCAGATGTTTCAGAGTCTCTTTGAAAAGAATCTTAACACATACTAGTGAATAACAAAAGTTCTAAAAACATCCAACTCCTGATAGATAAACAACATGTGTGAGGAGACTGTGTTTGGAGCTATAATCTCCCAAGTTTACCAGCTACATATGCCAAATCACTGAGGCTGTCATGGTCATTTACATAGAGGTGTTGCTTAAAAAAATCTACTGAGAAAAATAACATACATGGAACATAGCAAAAAACTACAATGTGGCCCAGCAAAACCTGTCTTCTAATCTGGTCCTTCCCTGTTTTATCTACATTTTTGTGTGCAACTCTCATGTCACTGGCCAGTCTCCAGATACCACACATGGATCTGCTCATTCTAGGAAAGAATCTTGGTAGGAAGATGCAAGAAAAATCTTTAGACAATGAACCTGATGTAGCTGCTCATGGGTGCAAGCAATTGTCACATCTGAATGTTTTCAGAGTTTTCTGTTTCAGTGGCCACAGTTGTTGGGGTGAGGAGTATTTAGCATCACATTTGGATGCAGCAGGAGTTGTAGGTGTTCAACACTGGTAGAAATTAATCCACTTCAGCAGTAATTTAGGTCCCTTCTGTTTGTTTGGTGCTGAACAATGGTATGAAATTGTTAAGCACCACTGAGAATGCAGAATTTGATACAGGAGCATGTGCCTTCCTGAGTAATGAAAACGGAGGGTTAGAGCCCCACAAGCCCTCTGGTAATTTCATGCTGGCAGTGTATAATGCAAAACACACAGCGACATAAACACTCTTCAAAGGGAGAGCCTGAGATTCTCATATTTTTTTCACTGAAGAGAGGAAAATATGGAGGAACAACATGCAGCCTAACAGCTGGCTAGGAGAATTGGGCTCTCATTCTGTACAATTTTTTTCCCCACATACCTTTAAAGATGCTGAAGCGGAAAACCTTGCTGAACTGGTATCCAGACTTGTCAAACTTGGGACTTAGTGCTCTGACAGCCATTCTGCAGGCAGAAGCTCTGAAAAAGTTTGGTGAGCACATTAACATTTCAATTACCTTGCAATAAATGTTTCTTCTAGGAAGGGAATTTTCCTTACATCACTTGAAGATCTGGAGCTGTGCTTCTACCCAGGGCCCTCAAGTGAGAGTAGATGAAACTTGCCACTTGCATGCTAGGCTCCTTCAGCACAGCATCAGCTAATGTCATCACGATTGGAAGACCTGGCTTGGTTTCAAGTAAAACCGCTGCAGCCAACATTCGGATTCGAGGATGAATTTTTTGGTTCAGGAAAATCTCAAGGGTAATAGACTGGACCTGAAAATAATAGGTACATCCAGTTTTACTGTGTGTTTAAACATTTTGATAGTAATGACCCAACACCAGTGAATGTGCTGTTTCATCAATAGAGCACTAAACATTTGGATTATTTAATTATTATGGCAACACTGTTTGTGGTTTCATAGTCCAAGGGCTGGAAGGGGAAATATGGTAACGTAGTCTGACTTCCTACACAATCAAAGCCAAGGAACTTCACTAGACAACTTCTACATCAAGTCTTTTATCCTTTTTGAGTTATCCCACTCTAGGTAAAAGAGATTTCATTAATCCATTACATACCTGAGAAGTGATTTCAGTAATCACTTATTCCTATGCATAAAGGTACAACTTATTTCTAATAATGTGATCTTCTAGGGTACTTTCTGCTAAATAATAGAATAAAAATGAAACAAAACCCAATTTATTATCAGAAATCTCTATACCATATAGGCAGCTTAAACCAACATTTAATGCAATAAATGTAATTTCCTTAGTAGTACTTGTGGTTGACATTTGCCCTCAGTAATATTCACTATCAAGACCAATTTAGTAGTGGAACTTTTGCAGTTTCCGGGGGGGCACAGAAGCCTTTGGCCCTAACTTTAAAATGGATATGGATGATGTGCCACTGTTCTGGCAAACCTTCTGCACAGCCCTGTCCTGCCTGGAGAGTGCACATCCATGAGCTGTAATGAAGAATGACAGAGGAAACTTCAGCAAACTTTGGAGAAACCTGACTGGTTTTATGAATTTGAATATGTTGATTATCAAATGTCAATGTAGACGAGGTGAAAAAGATGCAGTAGGCCTAAATGAGGCTTTTCAAATTAAACAATAAAAAAGGTCATGAATTAAGTATGCTTAATCCAAATATGGGTGTGTACCCAGCTGCAACCCAGGCATTAAATGTTTTTGAACAATAAAAAAGTGGTCACAATCATTAACTTGTTCCAGATAAATTTTCTCCAAAGAAAATGCATAGAAAATGAAAGTGAGTTGTCTGGGGGCACCTGTGGAAAGCCAGGCCAAAGAGCAATCAGAGATGCAGTGTTGGTCTCAAACACCAAATTGGCTTTCTTTCTTCCCCAGAAAATACTTTAACTTCTACCCTTGCAATTCTTTCCCTTCCCTCCCCTGCATTTCCCCATCCAGCTCCTGCACTCCACTAAATTGTTTCTTTATTCTTTTGGTTAAAAGCATACCCTGGCTCACTATTGTCTGTGGATCAATATGTGCACTCAAATTGGGAGGCACGTGCAAAAAATGAGTATAATGGAAACACTGATACTGATTAGTAGGTGAATAGTTAATGAAAGCTTTTATTTTACTTTTATATTAAGAATTTACTTATATAAAACAAGAAATTTCAACATCAGGAAAAAGATCTTGAAAAGCTTGAAAAGGATTCTATTTAAAAGCAAATTGCTTCAAAGTGAAAACGATTGTAAAGTGTTGTCTGTGGTACATGAGAGTATGCTGGTATAAGCATTGTATGTGAGATCCAATAATTATCTCAGTCAGGGACAAAAGTCACATTTAGTAAATGTTCTGTTTATGACTTAAGCCCATACAATGTCTGTAAATTTGTAATTAGGATGCAAACCCCTGGTATCTATTTACAATAAAATCTGGTCTTGAATTACGATTAGATGTGACACTCAGTATTAAATGTCAATTCTCTGAAAACCTTGTTTTGTGGTTCTCTCACATACCAAAGGTGAAGTAGTACTGAACACATTTGGGTCAATAATTTAGTTTTCTGTCTAATGTCCTTGGAAATGAAACGTTGGTAATGGAAATACTGATTTGTCTTCAACAACAATGAATGTATCCTTTTAATGGGATTTTTTTTGTTGCAGTCTGAAATACTGGAGGTTAATGTCAAAAGAAATAAGACATGCCTACCAAGGAATGGCTAAGTTTTTTTTTTTAAATAATGTTATCTTTAAAAAAATAGATCTGTTTTTCCCCCATCGCCCATTATCTATTAGAAGCCTTGTCAGTGAAAGTCAGAAGGGCAAAAGAGGCAGCTTTGTGTCCTTACCATTTTGGGGTCTTTTAGGCCTATGTTTTTCAGGGCCATCACAGCAGTCACATGGACCCTGAGAGGCAAATCTGAGGCACCAGCTGCATATCCTGGCAAAAACTTCTTGATGTGCTTGATGCTGGCTGGATGTCCTACATTCCCAAGGGCTTTCAAAGCCAGGGAAATTTCTTCTGTGCTAGACTTGCTCAATGCCTCTCCTGCAAAGCCATGAAGAAGCTGAAAAATGAAAACAAATCTGTTGAGTTCAATTCCAGCTCTTATCTATATTCCATCCACCAGCCTGTTCTGGGGTTTGACTTTCATAATTTCAGTTTGTTCAATTCATTTATTTTAAATATTTTCAAATTCTTATTTTTCCTCATGAATAGAACATTTTATTCATAGAGCAAGTGTAGCTGCAATGAACAGCTTCTTCTCACTATACCTTAAAGTTATCAAGTAAGATTTTAAAAGGAAAAAATAACAGCTTGGACCTAGTGCCCACTGCCTTTCAAGGTAAGTTGGGAACCCTGAAATAATGCTGCTTGGGCATCTCTCTCATGGTTGAAGTGAGAGACATATAAATACAGATACAGTTAAACCTTCAGACCCTTAAATAACATTCCTGAAGATATGGATAGTGGTGGTGCCCTTTACCAGCTATGACAGCCTCTTTTCAGTGTAGATTAATAGATGGAAAGTGAGATCGCTGTCAACAATTAGGTAATTTTACAGCTTTCATTGTAAGCAACTGGATCACACTTCCATTAGTATGGCAAGATTAGAAGTAGTTTTCTGAAGGCTGAATAAAAGCAAAGAAATAAATCCTAATAGATAACAGTTTCAAATGATAACAAATGGCTCTAAAAAAGCAACTGAGATGTTAGAGAATAATTTCAATACAGATTCTGTATTTTAAAATACCGCATTTGAGGTCCCTTGATGGTGCAGAAACAGTCTACTTGATATTGCTGACCAAATGAAGGGACACTGGAAATGCACTGAATAAGCCTAAACAATCATTTGCTTTGGGAAAGAATTTTCATTCTCTGACACAGGGCTTCTCAGATTTAATTAATTCAAGAGCATTGGTAGCAATTGTAACACAGGAGACGAATGCAGGAATGTTGGCCATGCCTATGTACTGCAGAAAAAACATCATGTCAGGCACGCAGTGTAATTGGAACACCCTGTTCTCACTGGGGATGGTGGATTGACGAGTGCCAAAGACTAAACACATATTTCTCTTTCCCTCCCTGTTCCTGGCTGAGTGGTTGGCTCCATAAAACATGACATGCATTTTTAGAACTGGGAAATGCTATTTAATGACTACTCAAATTGTTTTGAGGCCATACTGATTAAAAGCAGTGTAGAACAGGGAGGGTGTTATTGGTGTTACAATAACCTTATAGCCTATATTGATGAATGGGCTCTGCTTCTGGCTAGGATACATTAATTCTGACAAAAACCTGGGCTTTTGTACCACTCAGTTAATTTATAAATATACATAATACTTATATTTAAAGTATTTTCGAGCAATGTCATGGGACTTCGTTAATAATTGGCAGCAAAGCACTCAGAGACACTCAGATAGAAATGTTATGAATTGTGTGCTTCTTTCTCTCACTCTCTTTCGTGTGCTAATCTAAAGATAAAAATGCTGTATTTAACCAACTGGGGTTCCCTTCCCCAAAGGAAGCACTGTAGTGAAGCGAAATACAGCTTTCTGAATAATGAAGAAAGAACTCAAGGCTTAATTTTTCTTTTAAATGATAAATAACCCCGTGGTTACCTGGAGACACTCGGAGCAGGAGTCTGACGAGGAGCACTGCTTGTGGCACAGGGACGCGTAGCTGAGGTGGCAAACCTTCCCAAGCACGGAGCTCGAGCGCGGGCAATGCTTCTTTACTATGAGCTGGGGAGAAGGCAGTTGGTCGTTACTACCATTAATGAAGAGAAATGTTATTGAAAAATATACTCCTGCCCAATGAAACCAGGATTTTGATTTTATTTATTTTTTTGGTTGATGAATTTTCAGTTAATCTGTGGACAGTACTGTGTTTGACAGTGCAATTGTAAAGTAATACCAAGTAAGATCTGGAAGGCAGATCTGTGTCTTTTACAGTGTTTCACATTTAAATTTGGCATAGCCTATAATCTAAATGGAAGAAATTACCCAGTCATGGAATGGAAAAATGCACATTATTAAAGAAACATTCATCATGTTTTGTGATTGCCTCAGCTACAGGTACAATGAATTTGAGATTTGTTGTGAATGGACCTCACTACTTGGGCAGACAGGAACAACTTTTATAAATGTAGGAGCTGACAGGAGGCACCAGCCCACTGGTTTCTTGTGTGGGAAGAGAGCACCAGCACATAGTAGTAGTTGGGCTGTCAGGGCTTTCACTGAGGGAAAAACTCTAGTCTGAGGTTCATTGTCTCTACCTAGGGAAGGCAGAGATAAATTCTTGCATCTGAGACTGGGATTAAAGCCTGTGTACACAGAAAAAATTGCAAAAATAATTAGACTTCCTCCTACATGGCCTTCACATTGATAAAATTCCTATGGTTTTGACAGATCTTCTCAAATTCATACCCATCCTTCTAGGGAAATTATGACAAATACATGGATATAACAAATATGTATTTCTTGCTCCCTTGTCTTTGTAGACAGTCAGAGATCTAATCTGATGTAACTATAAAGTACATTTGGAAACAGAGAGACTAGAAGCCATTGTTTGCAGCAATAACCTCTGTCCCTCAGGGGTATTTTAATCTTTATTTCCTGTTTCATCCCGGACTCATTTTTGCCCTTTTGATTTGCATTCTCCTCCCCTTAAGACACTCAGGAAACAAAGCCCTTTCAACCTCACTAGAGGATACAAATCCTTTGTCTTTTCAAAGCTTTTGCTATCTTGTCAAGGGAATAAATACAACAGATGCTAGAATCAGCAGAGTGGTTTGAGAGTGTTTAGAGAATCCTACCGTTGCTTCCTCCATCACATCCCAAGTTGGAGTGCTGGAGTGCAGAGCCACAAGCACAGTTTGAGTCACTTCCCAGCTGGTGAGCTCCTGCCTTTCCATTTTGTGCCGCAGGAACCGGAGCGCACGGTGACTGGCCACTGCAGGAATTATATCCAAAATGTGGCGCCTGCAATGGGAAAGGCAAGCAGCATTTTCCAAGTCTGCCTCTGAACACAGGCATCCCAGAGGGTCTCCAGCAGCAGCAGCACCACCTTTATTGCCTGTACCTGTAGGCTGGCCGGCTGGAGAATCGCTTCCACACCGATTCGTAATTCTCCTCATTTGCTGCACGGAAGAGGTGCAGAAGCTTGAGAGCTTTTGCTGGTGCATCACTGGGAAGCTGGTCAGAGGTGGCCTCTACTAATTCTTGCAGGCTTTCCTCTATCTGTAGAAAGATGAAAATGCAGGAAGCTCACATGCATCATTTCCCACATGCAGGGATTTAAATTTCCAACAAAGAATCTGTCCAGTGGCTGGGCTTTACCTGGCTTTCCACATCTTTTATTTTGAATAAGTGGACAGGAAGCTGAAGCAATTCACTGCCAAACTGATACTGAAGAGATCCACGATTCTGGTACTCTTTTGGTGGGACCTCTGCCCTCTGCTTCTGCACATCAGTCAAAGCAAGTTTCTGCCTGGAATGGAGAACCCAGGAATAAAACATCAGAAGATGTAGGATACAAACTAAAAAAAAACCCAAAAAACAAACCAACCCACTAATTCTGCTTCCCCATATTGCAATGCAACTACAAAAGGTTTTGTTACTAAGGGTATTTACAGCCAGATGCATTTGGGCATGCTGCTCAGAACCATACTCTGAGGAGATGTGCACTTGCACAACAGGGCTCAGAGCAGAGCCAGACTTTGCCTTCCATTGGGAAAAACTGGGCTTGAGAATTTATGGAAGAAGAGGGAGGTGAGAGGCTGTGGTCTGAAGAATATCACAGGAAGTACTTGCTGTGTCTTAAGGAGCAAACTATGGGCTCAGATGGGAAACTTGCTTGGAAATTATAATTTAATTTAAACATTTTAAGAAGTTCATAAAAGATGTTATCTGTCTGTGTCTCTCCTGGAAGCTTCAAATGGAACTGAAAGTTTTTAGATACAATAAGAAATGCTACAATCCTTTTACTTGAACTATTACGATTCCCTCCCCATTTTGTTTGGTAAGCTGAATATCCTGGGGACTACAAAAGAAGGTTCTCATGAAGCTTTAAATTGGATTTTAAAAGAAAAGAACCACATAAATTCAGGATTAGTCTTTGGAAAAGTGCTCAACCTTTGGAAAACTTTTTGAGAAGCAACACACCATCATTTGTTATTAAGAATAATTCCAATGAGAGACTGTCTTTGTAAATATTTGCTATCTTTTTACATTTTCAGCTAAAGAGATGCAGCCTATCCTACCAATTATGTTTAAAATGGGTCATTTAGGACACTATAATAAAGTTAGGTATTTGTACTGAACAACAGAAAACATTCCAAAAGCAATATTGCTGCACTACAGAGTCTCTCAAAATCTCTGTAGAAAATTGGTGTGTTTATTTTGGAATCTCTATGATCTTCTGTATCATTTCTATTCACTCCTTCCATATGGATTGCAGAGAACTGCTGCAGAAAAATAGCATATAACTGCTTTACAGACAAGCCACTGGAATTTGAATAGAAACTGCTAGAGAATCAGTAGAGATTTTTTCTCTCTTGAAATTTTATACAATATTATTGAAAGGGCATTTGGGTCACAAAGTATAACATCAGGTACACTCGGGCAGATTTAACTCCCCCTTTCAAATCATGATGAATCTATTATGTCTTCATTTTCATTGTTTTGGGAAGAGATATATCTGCCTAGAATAGATGGGAAAATGCTGTATTCTGAAGAGAAGAGCAAATGAATGCTAAAGATGGGATTAAAATGGTGAAACAGTAGTGAAACCTCTCTTGGCTTTCAAAGGAGCTGCAAGAGTCTTATGCTGAGCAGATCTGAAAACTCAGCTCCAAGTGCCCTGATAGATTACTTTTTTAATAGAGAATGCATTGTGGAAACAACTTCTGAAGACTTGAGTGAGATAGTCACATCTTCCCAAGTATTTTATATTTGTCCCCTTCAGCTGGGTAATGACAAAAATGCAGAGAAAATGGGAAAAGTAAAGGTACTACCCTTTTGAGAGCTGCGAAAGACCTTACTGAAGACAATCTCTACAGGCTGCACAAGGAGAGCATAAAGCATCATAAATCCATTGTCACCAGACTAATGCTGACTCACAAAAACCTATAATTTCATAATAACACTGCAGTTGCGTCTATCTACACCTTGATTGAGTAGGATAGTAAAGCCACTTTAACTATTTTTTTGTTTAGTTTTGTTTGGTTAGCCAGATTGAACAGGTTCATTATGTATATGAAGTTAATCAGTCAGTTACTGACACAAACGTTCTGATGTTGCTGTTTCCAACAGATCCTTGCAGAACCTAATGGAGCAATGAAGATTACAGCAGCCGTAGAGTGGAATTGAAGAACACCTTCTGCACTGTGAAATTTATGCAAAAAGCCTCTCCCTTCAGTAGGGCACTGCTATTTACAGAGTCCATAATTAAATAAGTAACTGAATTTTTTTTTTTTAAATAAATGAATTTGATAGATGAAAAAATTTAAAATACTGAAAGTTTGAGCTATTTGGGCACAATTTCATAGACAACCATATTCGTGTTTTGCCCCAAATTTCTTTAGGAAATATGCAAAATTTGCTGCAAAAAAGAAAATGCATTTAACATATCTTATGCCCAATTGTTTTATAATAAAACCCAATTTCCTATCAAGAAACAGTTTTGATGGGAGATTTGCAAGCTGTCTATTTAGGAATTTAGGTATTTAGGAATTATTATACCAATTTAGGTATTTAGGAATCCAAAGTCCTATCTAGGTTTCTTCTGAACTAGTCTCCAAGGATCTCTTACTGCATTATTATTTTCCAGGGAACTCTTTTTCCTGAGTAACTGTCTTTCAAAGTATTTTACTTAAAATATATTAGTTCACAATTTCTCAGATGGAATTACATTTGTTTTGGCTTTTATGGCATAAATCAAATCTCCCTGAGAAATAAAAAGTCAAGTCCTGCCAAGTTTAGCTAACAAAATTTGGATAGTGATGTGCATGTTTCAAATTTACAACTAACAGTGGAGGTTGTTTTTATGAGCTGTTTGGGATTTTATGTAATTAAATACTGGCAAACAATGGGCTATGGAAGTAAAGGATTTATTTCACTTTCAGACCTTCACTCAGATTACTGGGTTGCTGAATTAAAGGAATGTGTATGGTACCTTGCTTCTACAATAGCATTTCCTCCTGTTATCTCGTTGAAGGGTGCAAACTGGTGGATTTCTTCGACATCAGCTTGTGTAATTACAGCTTCACTACGTGTGTATTTAATTTTGTAATTGTAAGTAGCAGTTGCACGAGAATTCTTGTTCCTCTTTATAATATAAATAAAAAAAATGAAACAAAGAAAATAAAAAGTCAGTGAACTTTGAAATTCTGTGACTAGAGGCTATTACATCACCCACTTTAACTCATTTGTTTTCCAGGGCTGTTTTGTTCATTGGCCATAAGAGCAATCAATGTGAATTCTGTGCACTCACTTCCATGGGAGAGGTCAGGCATTCTGCCTGTCTCCATTACTTTTGCTGCTAAGAGTTGTTAGCTGCTTTTTCCTTTTCCCAAATTTTAGTAATTGGTCATTCCCTCGAGAAGCAGACACATTTGTCTGAGGAGAGCAGCTGCATGAACCACAACATTTTTTATTTCAAAGACAGGATTATAATAAAATTCAGCCGTACCTGTCTTGAATAGCAGAAAATGGACATCGTGACTATTTTTTTTACTCAACAGAGTTAGTGAATTAACTCATGCTGATAATTAATGGTTTCCAAGCCAGCTAGCTTGAGCTAGCTCAAATGTTCTTGCAGTACATTTCAGTGGGCAGCCCAGACCTCTGCTTCTCTGTGGGATCATTTTCATACAGAAAGAAAATATTGACAACTGGATACAGCAGACCTGATTTCCCCCTCATTTTTAGTATTTGAAATTAAGAGATCATGTGGATTTCGAATAGTGCATAAGAACTTAAAATACTTGTACATAATACCACTCTGATTTACCTGCTGGCAGGTCTTGCATGGATGAGTGTATGCTGAACCTGTGACAATTTGAACTTTCTCTTCACAGCTGTCCAGGTCCTTGGATTTGGTCACATAGACTAGGTTTGCTCTCTTGTTTTCCTGGATTGCATATGTTGTGTTACAAATACCTCCAATCCCGGCCTGGCAAAAATGAGAACAGGATCAGAGAAGGTTAATATTACACAAAGCTTCACTTCGCCACATGAAATTTCCTGTTTAATTCTGCATTTTCAAAATTACTAATGGAAATGAATGCTTTATTTTTCCTTATATTCTTCAGAAGCAAAATTATGATGATCATTACTTTCTTTTATACAAGTACAGATTTCAGTAAGCCAAATCAGTGTTACACAGAGAGATCTAAATCTCCCCAAAGTTTCACTTGGAGCCTCAGGAAAGGGGAGTAATAATTTTCAGTTAGAGCTGTTGATAATGATATATGTTTTGAGAAAATATTAATAAAAAAGTGTCAAAATAATTTGATCATTCAGAATGAAATCTTAACAGCAAAGTATTTCAAGGTTGGAGATGACATTCTGCCCTCAAAACTTGCTTTTACAGAGACCTTACAATTGCCTATGGAACAGGCCTTGCAATATCAGGTGATCTGTCACAATATGACCAGCAGTAATTAAAAAAAAAAAAAATCAGGATAACAGAATTTTGACTGTGGGTCTTCTTGAGTTCACAGTTTTAGCTGAGCTCTTCAATAATATTTTGAGCATATACATTTATAAGAGCTTTTAAGTCTCCACAGTCAGTGAGATTTTTGTAGAGAAAAAAAAACAGATTGCATTTTAGGAGGAAGAGTTATTTTTCTGATTTTTCTATTATTGTTATTTATAGCATAGCTAGTGCAGAGATCAGCTCTGGGCTATGTGAGAGCAGAGAAATGGTCACGTGGTGTTTAGGAAGCAAGATGTACCCACTTCATCTTCAGCTTAACAGAATTCCCTGAGACACTGAGTCTTTGGTAAAGGCTCGAAAGAGGAATTGCCCAAGCTTTCTGGAAGTCTTGCTCTCTGCAAATACAGGTGTGGGTCTCTGCACACTGCAGGGTATGGTGGGGATCTCCAGACTTTAAACAGGAACACCTGGCCCAGAGAGTTCCGTGGGATGGAGCAGACTCCTGCCTAGCTGAACTTCACGGCTGTGTGCGGTTTATGGCCAGCCCAGACACCCTGAACCCACAGGATAGGATGCACACTTTCCCAGGTTAGTCCTTTAAACCTCTCTGCAGCTCAGATTTTGGGACTAATAATGTTTATCTTCCTTTGCAGAGTGACTCAAGGTTGTCAAGCATGGGTGCCAAAGCTCATTAATCAGTTGCTGTCTCAGAAAAGCAAAGAAAACTTGGAAATTATTCCAGAAGGTGAAGTCACGTCTATTGCGTAGTGGTGAGAGTAGAACATATTGCTAACTGAATTAGAAAGAATTAAGATGTGAAACTAGATATGAGAAAATAGTGTTGCAGAATATCCAACACCACCACACGGATTTTTATGTGCAGCAAGCAGTGTGCAAAAAATTAAATCATCTAGCTCCTTTCCCAGAAACATCTCTACTTATATAAAAATAAATGTAAAAAAAATTAGAGTACCCTGGTCTATAGCTCAATAAAAATAACATGAAAGTATAATAATTTCAAGACTTTTGCTGATCTCTGAATTGAATGTAGTCTAATAAATGTAAATACGGTTTCGGAAAAACTAAACATATTGCAATTTCTGTGGTGAATAGTAATATCAGATGATTGACCTTGACTAATATATAAAAACTTGAAAAACAGTGGAAATTTCAACTGAACATCAACTGCAACTGTCAAAGTAATGTTATGACATGTATACTATTTTCTTCCTAAAAGAGGAGCTAGAAGAGATTAAAGTATATGATTGGTAGAAAAAGTCAAATTATTGTTATTATGACTTTAATATTAAACTCTATTTTCAAGCATGTTTTATACAGTGTTCCCATTTTAAGTAGGTTTCATCTTTTACAGTTTATTTTCTATGGAATCACAAGCCAGATTTTCTAAGGGTTTAATTCTGCAAATGTATTTTCTGAAATACTTTCATCAACCAGATTAAAAATATGCTCTTCTGCTGTCCTGTTTAAGTATATCTCCACCAAATGTTGTCCCATATGAAACTTAATCATGAATTCCCAAGCTTAGGTCTTTCTTATAAGTGAAGTTCATGTCAAGGGTGAATTCAGAAAATGCAGTAGAAGTCTCTGAAGTGGAAGTTTTTTTATTTACAAAGGTGCCACAATGGCCAAACCCAAAACTCACCTCCTGTAGACTGTATGAATGCTGCGTCTTCTTTATGCTCAGCTCCAGCACGTTCATTATCCCTCTGTAGATGTTCAGACCATCATCTGAGACAGAATCAGGAGCCATAATGTTCCCGACGTGGCCATTGCTGTACTCAAACTTGACGGGGTTACTGAGCTGCCCAGTGAGGGCCTGGGTCAGTTTCAGTGACCGTGAGAACGAGCTCGTGGGCCAGGCACCGTTGTACTCTGCGGCTTCGATCGAGTGAATCTAGAACAAAGAGGGAATAAAACTCCTCTTTCAGTTTTTTTCCCTCAGTTAACTTTTTTTCAATACACATAAGTATCTAGAACTTTAATCACGTCAAAAATGAGCTTTTAAATAACGCAAAGCTTCTTCAAAGGGGAAACTCAGAAGTTGTCATTTAGCATAGCTAAATGTGTCGATACAGATATTTCTGTGCATAAAGGGAAAGAGAACACTGCAAATGGCTGATATTTCCATATCCACTGCACTCTGTTCTGTTTCACAGACAATCCATATTGCCAAAGGTTGACCTGTGCAAAGAAATGAGCCAGAGAAGAGCCACATGCAGCAGGTAGCTACCCAAAAGTAGTATGGAAGACCTGCAGGAAATTGCAGGAGAAAGTTAATGTTGCATAAAGCATCATTAACTCCTGTTGTGAACTCTGTCATTTCCCTCACTGGGGTCACAGAGCGCAGGCAGCAATCTGAAACTAATAAACCCGTGGCCTCTAGGCCAGCCAGACATGCAGAATTAGTTTGAGCAGTGGACAGCAGGTTACAGAAATTGTCCTTCCCTACAGGTTTTGCTGTGGAACCAAAGGCTGAGGCACTGGCTCCAACCCCACCCTGCACTTCACACTCCAGCCTCAACATGGGGCACATCCAAACAAGTAGAAAGTTATGCTAAACTGTGCATAACTTGAAAAATTCCTACCCCATGGGAACGGGCATGTTTAGCTTAGTTTCTCAGAGGACCCTTCCCTTCTATATATTTTGACAATTTAAAGAGACTTTTCTCTGACACCTCAGGCTGGCGATGTGGTGCAAGACACAGATTAATTTCTCAAAAAGCCACACAACCTAAATCCTCATACAGCAAATCGCTGGAGACTGCACTTTCATATTTATTTTTGTTATTGTTGGTGGAGATCACTGCCAACCCCAGTAACTGAAGCTTACAGGGAAGGCTGTTAGAGAGTAAATCCCTCATGCTGCCTCTTGGACATGCTTCTGGCATATTGCATACAGGCAGGTTTGGGACTGCTCTGCAGGGTCAGGGCGAGGTAGTTTTCCCCAGCCCTTGGGGCCCAGGCAGGACTTAGGCTGTCTGCTTGGTTTTGAACACAGCTGGCAATTCTTACTTGTTGGTTTGTGATGAAAAAATTGTCAGCTGGAAACTGCCCAGGGAATGCAGCTTTTTGTTTGGGCTGAATGTGAACTAGTAGGCTGCAGATGAAAGTTTAATTCCCTGAACCATCCCTCCAAACTGTCTAATTTAAATATAACAGCAGCAAAATAAACTTTTCCCAGAGAAGAAGGGAATAAATGTACTATTACCTTTAGCTTCGAACTTGCACAAAAAGTTAGGGTTTTTTTCCTTTTCTCCTTTCCTTGCCTGAAATTATTTCTGAAATGGAAACTTTTCACAAATGCAATAACACCAGTAAAGTTATGTTAGAAAGTTTTAGAGAACAGGAGTCAATTTTTGGTGAGGACTCACCCTGGCACACCAAGAGCCATTTAGGCAGGAATGAAGGAGGATCTGGGATGAGGACAAGACTGCTTCTGCCTCTTTTCTGGCAGGGAAGCTTTCTACTTACCACTCTTATTTACTTGGTTTTTTTTTTTTTTATTCTGAAATCCATCCCCTTACAAAAGCAATATTTTCCATCTAGATCTATTATAATTTGAACTTACAAAAATACCTCATAACAGCAGGCTAATTCAGGGTGGAAGGCTACAACATTTACAAGCATTTACTAGACAGCCACCAGTCTTTTTAACCTAAAGTTTTCAATATGTCAAATTAAAGTTTTTAAAAATAACATTTTTCTTCCCTGCATACAAAAGACTTAATGGAGTTTGTGTAAAGCAATTGAGGTGTGCATTTCCAAACAATCATTATAAGCATACATAGGCTCCTGTTAAAGACAAAAGTGTATTTGACATCATGAAAACCCTCAGTAATTACTCAGCAAGCAGTAAAACCACACAATTGAGGATGACAAAGAATGTCACTCAGGACCCCTCAGAAAAAAGAAAGATGACATTAATTATGCTAAATATTGAATCATATGCAACTACTGTTGCATGTTTTATTGCCTTTTGTCTGCTGGTTATGAAATCAGTTGATTAAATAATCTTAGGTTGTACAGCTTGAAACAATTGAACTGATCTAGTAATAAATAATTGTGCATTTCAAATTACATTCCATTGTCTCCCTGACCACAAAGCAGAAGAAATCCTTCAAGCCCAAGGTTGGCTTGAGCTGAGAATTACCTTGCAAAGTGCAAATAGGATTTAGGGCACTGTATAAAAAATAACAGTGTTAGTTACATTATCCCTGAGTAAGCACTACACATGATGAAACCTAATAACTTCACATAAGCTTAAAAAGGAAACTAAGTATGATGAGAATTTTACCTTTCAAATTGAATACATTTTCTTACCCTAATAAGACAAAGTTTTGGCCCAATACCACTAATTTCCACTTTACTTTTTATTCTTATTCCAGCTCTTGCAAGTCCTTTCTCTGGAAGTCCACTGAGAAGCGTGGTTTCATAATCAAATGTATAAACCTTGTTTTCACTGAAATCGGGTTCTGCAAAGAAATGGTTCCCATAAAATATTATACACAATATACAGAACATATTAAAGTACCTGCATTAGAATGTATGGAACAAAAAAGATGAATTTGTTCATTTTTGCATTGCACCTGAACTAAATTAGCTGTTGTAAAGCTATATTAAACATTGATACACTTTTCAGATTCTATTTTTAATTTCACTTATTATAATTATATTAGTTGATAGGAAAATTACTTACGGTAATTAAGATGCTGGCTCCCTGAAAGAGAAGAAAAAAATGAAGGAATAAAATGATACAGAAAAAAAAACTAACCCCAAAATGTTAATGTGCTGTAGTATGAAAGGCTATATCTCATCTTGCACATATAGCATAAACCTTTCTAATTAACTTCTATTTCAGTGCCAGCCAAATGCCTTTTTTTTCTTTAAACAACAAAAGAAGTAATGAAATATTTTTTCTACAACATGTTAAAGTTTACATCTGCCAGTGAACTATATGTAGGTTCTGAAACCTTTTCCTTTTAAATTCCTCAAAGTAGATAAGTTAGATACTCACCCACCAGGGTTAAAACCAGGGCTAATATCAAGCCCCTCATGATGGGGATAAAGTAAAGGTGAATGTGATGGGTTTCTCTTTTATAAAGGCATGTGATATCACATGTTTCTTTTGGCACGTTAGTTTGACAAATAAGTGTATTCTAGAATGCATATTGATCAATCAAAAAATAAACATTTCTGAGGTCATGAATGCTGACAACTTCAAATCCCCTCATGATTTCAGCTACCTTACTTTCTATATAGTTCACCTTGTTTGTGAGACCTTTGAAATTCAGCAGGACACCTTGGCAGGTATACGCTGGAAAAGAGATTTAATTTTAAAAATATCCTGCTTTCTATTTTCCTCCATTTCTCTACATTTTATTTATACAGTAAAAAAACACTAAAATTAAAATTATACAAATGTAGTTCCTCCATCATAACTGAAATAATTTAGCTTTCTTCCAGCCATGTCTTTAATCTCCTGACATTTTACTCTTCATGAGGTTCACTGCTTTGGAGACAAACCTTGCTCACATTGAAACTGTACTTTTAGAGGAGAATTTGTGGTTGATTTTACATATTTAGGCTTGAGACACCTTAGAGCTCATAGGCATGCAATGAGAAACTGCCTTTCCATGGTATCTACCACATCTTGTTACCCACACCTGGAAAGACAAAACTTGTGAGTATGACCATCACATTAACCTATGTTTAACAGTGAAAGTTTATACTAAGAAAACAGGAGGGAAATTAATACCTTTGTTTCTAAGAAGAATCAAATTAGAAGTGAGTTAAATTTCCAGCAGGACCTCAGTGAGTTGGAACCATTGGGAACTTCCCAGTAGGTTCTCATGGGGCTATTTCTGCTGTCACTCTTGGGGAAATATATCCAGAATTTCCCACTTGTAGGAATAACATTTAGATCAATCCTTAGCAAAACCACGTCAGGAGGGAGTTTGCTCTCTAACTTCAATTATATGTATTTTTTTTGCAAGTGTTTAACATTTACTTTGAATTTAAACTTGTCTTTTGCTCAAATGATAAATTAAATATCATGTAAAAAACCGCCTGCATACAAAGGTTACTGAGGGGGCAGGAAGGAGAGCTCAGGAATGTATACCTGGTATTTCCATGAGGCTGTGGAAGGTGCAACACAGCAAACACTGTGCTAAGTCAGGCAGCCAGGCTTTATCCTCCAGGAGGGGAACAAAGATTTCTCTGCTGGTGCTGTCCATCAGGGAGGAGAAGGGTGAAACCTAAACCCAAGTCCTGAGGTCTTCACCTTCAGGCCTGAAGACACATTTACTGCAGGCCCCATCAAACAGTCCTTTACATTATTTACTTGGAGTGATGCCACCTGACTGAGGAGTAATGAAGTTCATTATTGTGGTGCCAGGGCACCTGGGCTGGAGTCAGGGTTGCAGTGTCCCTCTACTCCATCATTCCTCCACCAGGCATCAAATGAGGGTTCCTTCACTACCAAGACCTCCTGAAATATTGAGTGTTTTAGTATCACAGCTTTCCTTCATGAAGGGAGTTATACAGAATTGTATGGGTAGTCAGACCTTCCCTGAAATGAAATCTGTCTGGTAAAATATTTTAGTGTATAGTAGACATATGAACCACTAAAAGAGATTAATAATTATGTTTTTGTTCAGTGTGAGCTCAGGTGGTGAAAAATTAAGTGCACACAGATTTTCCTTGATGTTTTCTCCTAAGGCGCTATGTCCTGTGAGCTATGACAAGATACACTATGTTTGTGTGCCCTGTGAAATTCAGCAGCACACCTTGGTGCTGTGAGATGTAGTCAGAAACATCTTTACAAACAGCTACATTTTTTGCGGCCAGAATGGAAGTAAATGCACAGCAGCAATGTAATACTGTAAGTGATAACATGCAAAACTCGTGCTTCGCTCACCCTGCTCATCACTGCCACAGCTTGACCTCTGCAGTAATATTGTGCTATCATATTGAGCTCAACGAGCTCCATTCCACAGGGCAGAATGTATAAGATAAAGTACAGAACTGTATGAGAAAGAATATTTATTTAAACATTAATAGCTCATTGAAAATACTGTGTGAGGAACACGTACATATTGAAAAAGATCTACAGCATTTTTCAAGATTATAAAAAGATTTATAATTAAGGTGTAACATGAATAATTTTTTCTAAATGGGTAGTGAAAATACTGCATTTCTTTTTTCTAATGAAGTACACTGAATATAAGCTTACAATCACCATGTGGATACCTGATTGCTAAAATAACAACTATAATAATTAAGATGGTGGAGGCTGCCATTTTCTCTTCATTTGCAGCATGTACTCTCTCTTTTTAATAACTCCTCTCTACCCAGGCTTGTTTCCTTGGGGGAGAAAAGAAAGTGATCTCAGAATTGTTGTACCCATTATTGCTTTAAAGGAACTACAGAATAAATGCAGTAAGTAGAGAGGAGACACAGCTAGAGTTTGAGGGTCACAACACTGAGCTCTAATCCTTTCTTCAAAGTAGACACATCATTCCAGCTAGTTCTGAGGGAATAAACAGGAGATCTATCACTTTAAGGAAATGGATAAAAGGAGAAAAGGTAAGAGGCACACTTTTTAAAGGCAACACAATTTTTCTTAAACTTTCAACAGGTCATGTTAGTGGAAAGAAAACACATGAAAAATAAATACTCCACAATCAAACAGGCCCTCCACAATTTCCAAGTGCCTAATTTGGTTGCAGAGGAAGGAAATTTAATGTGGGCAGAGGCTTTATACACAACCTGTATATTTTCCTTTCTTCTTCTTTTAGGCATAAACAATGAAGAAAAGGGATTGTTAAAAAGCAATGGGAAATATCTTGGGATTTTTTTTCTTATAAAGGGGAAAATATATGGTGTTGACTGTTGCAGAGAAGGTGATGGCTGTATAAGGAGTGCAGTAAGAGGAGGTAGACTGCTTTGATTTTACAGGGCACTTGCACCATAAATGAAACATGAATGCAGCCTAATTAACCTGATTAGAGCTATTGCTTCTACACAGCAATTGTCTTTACATAACACATTCTGCTTGAGTAACAGAGTCTTATTATCTGCTGTTGTACTGCCACCGATAGCTCTGCACTCCCTTGTTCTGTATTCACATTGCTGAATTATGGTGCAGTGATGCCATTTCCATCCTGCTAATGTATAGCCTAATGACAAGGCAGAGATTAGCCAAACAGCTCCCAAGCAACCACAGCAGGTTAAAATAGATATAATCAGTTGGCTAGGCAAAGAGACTTCTAGCCTTCAGTTTTCCTCATTTCAAAAGGTTTTTTAAAGGAAGCTTCACACCTATTTCATATTTAACATTCACTCCTTGAATTTTTTGCTCAAAACATTCAGCATTTGTAAGAGTGGCACAGCCTACAAGATAATGTTTGATATTCTCTCCAGAGACATCGTCTAATGAATGAGAATGTGTTAGAGGTTAGGCTAAATTGCCATATGCTTATTCTAGTACATTCACAAAGGGATTTTTTTCCATTAGATTGCTTTAAAAGGGTTTTTTTTTTTTTTTGACTGTTACCCCAGTTTGATGCTGGCACACCACCACTGGGGTGATAACGGTGGGAATTCGATACAAAGTTTAAAAACTAAAACAGGTAGAAATGCTATTTATATGTTGTCTAGCTTTTGATGTATGCATGGTTTGAAAGATACTGTTGGTCTAGATTAATAGAATTGCTGTAGAATTTTATTTTGATAAATTTGCTTTTTGATAATATATGCTACCAAGATAGAACCACATTTTGGTGCATTTTGTGAAGTAGTTGTTGGGACTGCTCCTAAGGCCAAGTGTGCATTGCCTGTCATTTCCAGATAAAAGAATGAAAGTACAAAGAGGAGTGGGGAATCTAACTGACATTCTCAATCTGAAAACAGATTGTTTTGATACGGCTTAGTTTTACTAAGAAGCTCAAAGGTTTTTATTTGTATTCAAATATGGAAAACACATTCTGAAGCCTGACAGTCCAACACAGTGGCTACCATCACTGGCTCATCAGCCGGCATACTGATTCAGTGGCTTCAGGATTTTCCCTCCCCTTTCAGGATATACTATTTCCCAAGTCATTCAGTAGGGTTAAATGTTAGACAACTTGTATCTGAGGTTTGAGTCACATCATATTTGAGGAGTGGTGTTTGCTATGTAATTCCATTGCACTAGAAGATAACTAATAAGTTTATCTTAACCCTTAGACTTCATGGTCACAGAGTGGTTATCTCCTGTGGGGTTGCTGCTGACAGGAAATGAGGTAGCCCTGAAATTCAGCCGTGTCAGGAGCCCAGCTCAGCCACTTTGGGGATGAAATGGTGACGGCACAGACAGGACACAGAGCTCTGTGCCTGCTCAGCAGGCTGAGGCGCTGCTTGTGACTGCTTGCCTGGCTCCAAGTGTCATGGCTGGTAACTCACCCGAAGGGAAGGACACTTGTGTAAGGTTTATTGTGATGAACTATGGCTGTAAAAAGTGTGGGCACTGCTGCAGGGAGGTGAGGAGAGCCCACACCACCCTGTGCCTCAGGATGAAAGCAGGAGGAGGGGGAGCCCCTCAGCATCACAGCCCTTTTTCAGGGGACACTGTGAACACACAAAACAGCTGCTTCCACTTCAGAAAACAGCCCATGACCCTCTGCTGTACTGCATGAGGATGCCTGTCCCTGGAGGAACAATGCCCAAGTCAGTGGTGGAAGAATTTTAAAAAGAAGGAAATTCTCAAGGCTTTTTTTTTTCCTTTACAACAGTCCAAGTGTATTACACTGCAAAACTTCAGATTCATCTGAGAAAGGAATTGGGCTTATTTTTTTATTTTCAAAATGTGGAGCTGTAAAAATATATAATGATTTCTCAAAGTTGTTACTTATATTGTGGTCCCATCCAAAACATGCAAAATTTTTTAAGAATGAAGGGGAAAGCACTGATTTTTTTCTTAGAAGTCAATATTATCAAGTATAATGATTTTTTTGTTTGTTTTGTTTCATAGACCTTCATCTTAGTAACATATTCCTTTACAGCACAGTACCACTGC